GCAAACACTTTTGAGGAGGGTCAGAGTCAAAGGAGAGAATAGAAAAATGGGGGGTTGGAATAGGATTAAGGGAAATACACTTAGTCTTTCACAATATGACTATTATGGAATGTTTTGCATGACTACACATGTATAACCTATATTGAATTGCTTGTCCTCTCAAGGGTGGGTGGGTGGGTGAGGAGGGAGGAAGGGAGAGAATTTGGAACTTAAATTTTTAAAAAACAAATGTTAAAAATTGTTTTTACATGCAACTGGTAAGTAAGATATACAAGCAAAGGGGTATAGAAATCTATCCTGTCCAACAGGAAAATAGAAGGGGAAGGGGATAAAAGAAGGGGGGATGATAGAAAGGAGGGCAGATTGGGGAAAGGGGTATTCAGAATGCACACCATCTTGGGGTGAGGGGAGGGAAGAGATGGGGACAAAATTTGGAACTCAAAATCTTGTGGAAGTGAATGCTTAAAACTAAAAATAAATTAATAACCCCCCAAAAAATAAAGAAAGAAAGGAGATGGTGGAATTTGGAGGTTCTCAAACTTAAAGGTCTGGTAGTGAACCTGGTAATTGTTGTGAGGAGCTGTCCAATCAGGACAAGTTGGTCACTGTGGAGCAACCATATGCAAATAAGCCATATATTGTATTAATAGGAAATAAAACAGGGAAGGCACTAGAATTAAGAGGAGTAGGGAAAGGCTTTCCAAAAAAGGGGGGACTTGAGTTGGGACTTAAAGCTAGTAGTAGTAGTAGACTTTGATTGCTTTCCATTTAACCTATGCAATTTCTAATTTTGCCTCACATAATCTAAACTACTGGGAAGATCTCTGTTTCTAAAACTGTGATAATGTGTGCCTCTGTTCAAGTGTAAAGTTTGTGGCAATCTTATTCTTAAAGATAATTAGTTTTTACATGCTATCCAAAAGAAGGCTGACACCCCACTCCCACCCTGCCACACCCCATTCTCACTATCCTATTCAGCCAGTGACTGACCTAGAATCCTTTGGAACTAGGAAAACTGAAAACTCTCACTTAGCCCATCTGTAAAATGGGAATAATAACTTAATCAACTTCACAGGGTTGTTGTGAGATTCGAATGAAATCTTGTAAATCGTGTTTATACCTGAAAGTACTAAGTCATCTAACTTCTTGTTTTATTTGTATGGTTACAAAGTGAAACCTCTGTGTCCTGGATGCATGTAATATGCTATCAAGGCTAACAAATAACCAGATGCATTTTTTTGGTGTATACCTGGGGGAGGGTAGGAGAGGAAGAGGAAAAGGGGAGGAACAAGATGCATTTATCTGTGGTAAAATGGTGAGTGTATGGTGCGGTTTCTTTAAAGAACTCTTCTATGATAGACATTTATTTTGCAGTTATAAAAGGGCTGAAATCAACCTCTGTGCTTTGGGAGTTAAGGTTGAAAAAGTAAAAACAACTATATAACTCCCAAACTATATTTGTTTCAGATAAATCTATTTTTCTAGATTTTTTTTCTCCTAAAAGTATGAGTATGTTGGCAATTAAATATTAAGATGAGAAATCTCAGATTTTCTAACTGAAGTGATGCCATTTTAAATATTGTAATTAATTACCAGCCTTTGAATTTGGAATGATTTGATGTGCCAATTAGCTTTACATGCCAACAGGACTTTGGCCAAATCTGCTATGGAACTTCCTTGGACTAAATGATGTTTAAATAGAAAAGAGAGCTGGAAGTAGGGACAGACAAGAGGGATAGTTGCCTAGGGTGAAACATGTAGAAGTACTCAATCAGGAATGTTTTTGATATTACCTTTTATTATAGTACTCTATAACTGGGATGAGGTCATTTATTTTGTGATCTATAAAGTCATGTGTTAGAGCAGCATTTCTGACATTGTATACTAACATACTACCATGCCTAGAACAATTTATGTGGAAATATCTACCCTGAGTGCCAAGACATAAGTAATGGAAATGCAACTAATAGCTTTGAGTCCATGCATCTTAATGCTTCTTAAGCAGTAGGGGTCTCCTTAATTGTCACTTTGAAAGTTAAGCCATTTTGAATGGAGCTACTCTCCGAGCATAAAAAAGGAGCCAGGTAGCCACTAGGGAACTATCAGAGAGCACATTTCTATTCTCTGTGCAGGGTTACATGGAGACAGCGATTGTTGTTGAACCACAGTATGAATTACAAATAGCAGCCTAGGAAATCTCTAGAGACAAGATCCTCTGAACCTGAGTACAGTTACTGTTGCAGCTTTGGGTGAATGAATTCTAATTGGCCTGTTAAGTAGAAGTCCTACCAGGGAATACCAATCAACCCTACCCGTTAGAGAAAATGCAGTGGGCATGATGAGCCTTAAAACTCTGAATGAACTACTTTCTTTGAGTCTTGATTGGGAGAAAGCATTTTGTAAATAGTTAAGAGATATATAAAACTGAGCACAGGTCAGTGCTTCACTAAATTGAGATGTTTTCACTGAAAAAGCTATGATATAACTAGTCTCTGAGTAACTAGTTTCTGGGTTGCTGCGGCAAATGAGAGGCAGAATATTCTAGTGGATATTGTGCTGAAATTCCACCCCTGACACATACTAGATGTGTCGCCTTTACCTCTCTAATCCTCAGTTTCCTCATCTATGAAATGATGAGCTTGGACTTGGTAAACTCTAAGGTCCCTCCCAGCTCTAAATCTATCATCTTATGATGATAACTTGTGCATAAACTCATAATCCCCCATCTACGAGTTCACTACTAACCTTCATCTTCGAGGTTCCAGTAAGTGTCATTCATAGAGATGCTGATGACAAGATCTTCTGGCAAGTCTGTCAGTTAGGACTGCCCTCAAGCAAACATGAGCTGTTTATGTTCATTTTACCAGCAGACAACCTGGGAATCTATCCTGGTCACAATCAAGGAGCAGGGTTTCCTGTGCTTTCTAGTAGTTTTAGCTAGGGGAGGTCCCAATTTGTTTACCACATAATTTGATTGGTAGTTCATTACATACGCTACTGATAAAGTTATTTATAATATTTTACCATTGGTGATCTATCCTAACAGAAGTTCTACATATAAATTGTCTACAAGCTCACACATAATGATCACACCACACAATTGTTTATGAGATTGATAACAACTGATAGGAAAACAACTTAATACAGTTCTATCACAAAATGGAGTAAAATCAAAATGGAGTCGGTTATGCCAAGTTGACAAACTTATTTCTACTCTCTTCTTAAGGTAATAAAATTATTCTCTCTCCATGTTTTTTAAGAGTTTGCTTTCTGTTTTCCTTTCTCATTATAAGGCTGATTTTCTAAGATAAATATGATTAACCATCGCATTTTTATTCTATGCATTGCATTGCTCAAATGTATCAAAGAAAAGACATTGGGGAAAATATCTGGAGCTGGAAGTGGTGGAAAGGCAGAGGAGGATGAGGGATAAGAGAGGGAAGAGGAGAGGGTAAAGAATTAGAGGAAGATTTTGTAACTGTTATATATTTACCAGAGCAATTTCTTCTACTGTGGCTTCAAGCTGAACAAAAGAAAATTTATTTGTTTTTTGTTAATTTCCAAAGCAGGGAGAAAAAAGAAACCATGAACCCAGCTCCTTCTAGACAATCAATCACTTATGTTATTGTGGTTTTTTTTTTTTGGCGGGTGGGGCAAAAGAGGGGAAAGATTGTGACTAAGATTGCAATGGAAAACATCACCATAGTCATCTTTGAATGTGCCATGACAGAATAATAGGAAGACAAAGAACAGCAAATCGTACAGATTTGATAGTAGTAACAGGTGAAGCACCCAGCTGTATTGATGGAAAAATCTAATGTTTACAATTGTTTTCAGATCCTTGCCCTTGAAAGGTAATGAGACCTATAGAGATCTGTGAAAAGGACAATTAACAAGCTCTGAGGGAGAACCCTTTACATTGATGAAAGAGAAGACATTTCAAGTAGTATTCTAGGTCAAGCTAGAGTTCTTTTTTTTTGTTTTTTGTTTTTAGGCAATTGGGGTTAAGTGACTTGCCCAGGGTCACACAGCTAGTAAGTGTCAAGTGTTTGGTCTGAGGCCGGATTTGAACTGAGGTCCTCCTGACTTCAGGGCCAGTGCTCTATCCACTGCACCACCTAGCTGCCCCATCAAGCTAGAGTTCTGAAGGTATCCAAATTCTAGGGCTAGGACAGTCAAAAATGCTTTTAGAACAATACCAAAGGTAGAGGTAAACCTAGACTAAGTAGGTAAGTGAAACACACAAGGGAGGAATAGGTAGTGTCAAACTGAGGCTTCATCTTAAAAAATTTCTCTACCTGATACACTTTTTATGGCATTGGGATGCTCCCTCACCCCCAATCTTCAGTATACTATGGAATGGGATGTTACTATTTTATTTACATTTATGGGATGCATGTTGCATACCTCCAACATCAGAGTTGCCTCCTCTCTTTCTGGCAGGCTTTTCTATCACCAGTTTTCTGTGACTGTACTATCAACTTTCCTGTGCCTCCTCAGGATTTTTTTTCTTTTTGTATTCCATCCTAGATTATTTTCTGTGCTGTCTATGAAGCTTTCTCTAATAAGCCAAAATGTAGGTAGAGGTGTTCCCTCTCTCCTCTTGAGCTTCTTTCTTAGTGGAGGGATCAGCCTGTCTTTATAGCACATGTAATTGATGAGTGCCAATAGCAACATACATTTAGCAAATACTCTGTAGGGGAGAACCTGTTTCTTTGACTACCTCCTTGGTACCAAAGTGAGCCACTTTCCCATGACTTTTGGTCATGTACAGGTTCCTTGCATCCCTGCCTTTAATACAATTTAGCTGCATCCTTTCCTTTCTCCTTAGCTTCTGTTGATGCACGAAGATGGGTATTCAGCAGCAGGCAATCATAGGTGTTAGCACGGTCTTCCCCAGCAAATACAAAATTGAAGAAAAAATCTGAAAGTGAGCTCCTCATCTTATAAAAAAATTCCAATTGGTTTAACAGTTGGATATGAATAATCAATAAACCTGCCTATCTTATTTAATATTTTATTAAATAGAAAACACAGTACAACCTTCAAAGATAGATAACTAAAATATTACAATCCATTTAGTGGTTTCTAGAGTACCTGCAACAAACTAACAATTTGGGAGGCAGTGCTACAAATATAAAGAAATCAAATTTTTAATAAAGAACCATACAAATATATTTACATATATATATATATATATATATATAAATAAACACAGTACATATTAAAACTTATAACACAACACATTTTCTAATACATCAGATTGTTTTCACATTTATGTATTTAATGGAAAGCCATTATATATTATGTAAACATAGTTAATTTCATAAATGAACATTATTTTTTCCTTTAAAGCATGTAATTTTTCTGGATCCTGATTTAACATTGGTATTCTTGAGCAATCATTAGTAGATTAGTAGTCCTTCAAGATCTAGAATCCAGTTTAGCTGTAGCTGGGGGGAAAAGGAAGAAAAAACCAATTTATGTTATGTATGTATATATAGATATTATACACACATACGTATGTGTGTAATTTTTAAACTTTTCTGGGGACTCATGATTCATCATGTTAAGGAATTCAGAATTTAAGAATCATGAAAATGGTTATTGGTCCAACTTAGTCTTAGAGTTTCCTCTGTACTTTGAAGGTAAGTGACTTGCCCATGGTCTCACAGTTAAATTGAAGTTTTCCTGGAAGTAACCTACCATAGAGGGTTGTTTTAAAGCTCAAATCAGATATTGTATGCAAAGTGTTTTGCAAAGTTTAAAGTGTTATATAAAGGTCAGCCACTATTATTACACTTAAAAAGAATGTTGATTTTGGAACAACTCATCAAATTGTTCACATAACATTTCTTTTTCATCCTCTGCAGTAGATGTCAGTATATAAGCTGCAATTGTAATTATGTTCATGGTGGTCTGTTTGCTTATGCTCATATTGAACTCTATTTCCTATTTAATTATGTTTTAGTATTGCCTTTGGGCTCACCATGCCCAAACCAACCATGCCAATTATTTTATTTGCCTATTTGAGGAAAATGTGAAACATACTTCCATTTAGCTGCAACTTCTTTCTATGTTCTGGTTAAATTGATAACAAGGGTGTTAATATGAATGTTATTTAGTTCTTTCAGTACTGTTGGTCACTGGACAAAGACTGTAAACTAAGATTCTAATAACTAAACTGATATTTATTTGTAGATGGTTTTTGAATTGTGGGATTCTTAGTATCTTTTGTCTCCTTTCCCATCACTCTCCTGAAATCACCATGGAATCACAGAATTAAACAGAATAATAGAATCTCAGACTTGGATATGACTTCAATGGTTCTCTAGTCCACACAAATCTTGACTAGCAACTTCTTGATTGCATCCCCCACAAGTGGCTGACTAACTTTACACCTGAAAATCAGAAGTAGCTACACAGGACCGAGGACCAATTATCCTTCTGTTTCACGGGATGCCGTGGCCAAAGATTTCATTACCTACTGACGAGCCTTCTGGATCTAAGCCTCTAAGTGGTCAGGTTTTTCTTCTGGAAACAGACAGTCTATCTCTTGTGCTTGTGCTACCTTTCTAGCTTATTAGAAAGAACCTGCTAGATCTTGCACAGAGTAATTCATCGTTACTTCAAAGTGATAAAAAAAAAAGAGACATGGCACTGAAACTGCACCTTTCCAGGAGTTTTTCAGCATATTTAAAAGTCAGGTATAGCACAAATTATATTTTATTTATGAACAATTTGGGACATACCTTCATCAAGTTCCCTAGCTATACTTTCTTCCAACTCCTGCTGCATCTGAAATAACATTAAAATACAATACAAAACAATGAAGTAAATGAAGAAGGAGGATCTTGAGATAGCACAAAGAACTAAAAAAATCTTTTAAAAAATTGCAGACAGCCAAAGAAATTATTAATAAACTTAGATGTTACTTTAGTTTGACTTTAGTCATTCAACAGAAAATCTATTGGTCTAATAAAATAATACTTTTATGAACAGAATCAAGAGCTTCTCACAATTAATTATATACAAAGAGACATGAACTTTGTTAGCCTAGTAGTTATATTTCAGGCTTTGCATAGTTTTCTTCTCTAAGCAAATCTTACCCTTTTCATTTCCATTTTTATGAAAATAACATTTTCTCTAAAAATAAAATCAAATTTTATAAAAAACTTTAAAACAGTTAATTTCAAATGTTAATACATTACTTCATTTAGTTACAGTATGAGCAGAAAGCACTAAATGAAAACAGCTTCTCCATTTCTGTTCCAATTGACATATTTCTTAATCCAGAGAGAAAATGATTTTATTTGATTTTCTAAATTAATATATTGTGGTTATGAAGGTCTTTGTAACAAAGCCTTCCAATTTCAATTCTTAAAACAGCTTCATAGAAGTGGGAAGAGAAGATGAAATGGGAGCACACTCTTGATAACGATTAAAGTTGGATAGTTTCCTTTTCAGAAGACGGATGAAATAGTTAAGATACTATAGATAACGAGGTAAATGTTGCAACATATGTATAAAGCATGTGGGGAAAGCCATCACCAAAACAGAGAGTGTTCTTATCTATAATGTTCATATTTAAATTTACATTCAAGTAAAGATATTTCTCACCAAATTTGTAATAGTAAATGCACAAAAGAGAACCTGGCAAAGAAACGTGTGAATGTCTGTTATTGTTCATGATGGCAATACTGTCAACTTCTTTTTGTCCTGGCAGTAAATTTGGAAGAGAGGAGGAGAGTTTGGGTCGATTCCCCAGATTCTGAGTTACATCTTTCTTAAGCCTTTCTTTGTCAGCATCATTACTAGAAGAGGTCTTCAGTAATGAAAAACCTTTAAAAAATTTTATATGATATGTTAATAAATATACTTTAGGAAAAAAAAGAAAATTGATATATTTTTAAGGGAGAACAAATGTTCAATATCATTTACAAAAAGCTCTTTTCATATGTTTAGTATAAATGCAAAAATATCTGTATGCCTCTTTATGAAATATATAGACATACATGTATATGTATAATATGTAGAGGGTGTGATTAGGAGTGTAATTAACTTCACATGGTTGAAAGATAAGGATTTTATTCTGGATTTGAAGATATCTCTAATATATATGGAGTGACTTTCCCACTGAAGCTGTTTAGTATTTTGGTCATATCTTCTTTGTAGGGCATGGAATTTGCTTTAGGTGCCCACTGACACCATACTGAGGAAGCCCAATGTCTCTGTTCCCTTTTAATGGTCAAGTTCAGGGTCTTGGCTCAGATTCACACTAGCCAGGTCTCAACCAATCATCAATGTGGAATCAATGTGCCACTAAGTAGCCAGGAAAAAGACATTCCTTACTTTCCAGATATGAGCAATGCTGGAAATAAGGTATTGGGCATATTCACATAATTCATATTCAAATAAGGTCAGTGGGCATATTCATACTTTTCTTGGGGGAATAGCTTCAAAGTCAAAACAAAGGTCTAACTATAATTCTATCAGGTGAATAAGGTTCTTTCTTCTGGTGTTCTCTTTTTCTCTCTCCGTCTCCTTCTTTGTCCTCCCACATTTGTCACTGATTTCCTCTTCTCCACCAAGATCATGATTTCAGTTTTAGACTTGGAGAGTTATCATACTGACATCCTGACCATTCTAATCTATTATTATTATATTTATCAATAACGCTGGAAGTATGCAAGAGAAGAGTAGATCATAACCCATGTGTTTTATTTTGAGAAGGTTTCCTATTTCTGGAAAGGTTTCCTATTCTCAAACAGCTTCCCTACTAGACGTTCACAGATGTCTGAAATTTTGTTTCACATTCATTCCTCTGGCTTATGGCAAATCTATATAACCCTGGAAGGGAAGAACACATTAAATCAGCAGAAGCCTTGAACACTGTAGCATGAATTAGACTATTAAATACTTTACAATATGAAAGGGCTGATATCTGTCTTTTGGGCACAACAGGTAATTCTAAAAAGAGAAGCAATGTGGTGTGGTAGAAAGAACAATGGACTTGGAGTCAGGAGAGTCCTGGTTTAAACTGTGCAGCTGACACTTCTTCCTCTCAAGTGGTTTCAGCTCTTCTTGCTCACAGCCTCTATGGATCTCTAGCTATATCTGATCTATATCTCTATCTGTTCTTGTTAAAACTCCAGGCACTAGTCATGAGCAAGTCACTTAGTCCCACTCGCCCCCGTGTCCTCATCTGTAAAAAGGTATAATAACAGCACTTTTAGGATGGCTGTGAGGATCAAGTGAAATGATATAAGTAAAGCATTTTGTAAACATTAAGTTGTTATATATCATCAGCTAAAATAGCACTATTATTGTTGTTATTATTAGAATGAAGATAAAGGTCCAGGACAGGTACGTGTAGGATATCTAATAGCGCAGCTGTCAGGGGCTAGCACAAGCATAATGGCCCCTGAGTATTCAGGGAAATGGGAGCATGCAAGAAAGGGGGAAGTATAACAAAGGGAGATAATGAAATACCAATTACAAACCCATTTGGCATAGGGCTAGCCCTATCTATTAGAGGAAGTTAGAACACAGTCTTCGTCTGAAATTCAATAACTTTTTGATCTGATTCTGACTTGTTCCATTAACTCAAAATCTGTTATTAGGAAAGCTACTGTTATTATTCTTTTTCTTAGCACAAACTCTAAAGAGTATAGGACTTTGGTTGTTTATGATTAAATTTTTAAAAAAACTAAATTGCTAAAAAAGATGGTTATCATTGACACATTTTCTGGAAACTACTATCTCTGAAAGTTTTATAAGACCTTAGTTCTATAAATAAAATAAGACAATGGGCAAATGGGCTCCATCAATGACTTTTCTAATATTATTAGGACTATTACAGGCATGTTTGATAATTCATACAAACAGCACTACATAGGATCTTTTGAAGATTTGTTTCAAACTGTAAAACATTCTTAGCTCTTATAGAGATCTACAAAGTAATTATAAAAATAGATGTGAAAAGATTATTTCTTTTCAAGGCATTTTGTACTTACATCATAAAAGAATGTGGTAACAAATTTATCCAGCATCAGCACATGGTAACAGAGCTGTAAGGGAACTTCAAATGTCAGCTAGTCTCTCATTTTACAGATGAGAAAACTGAGACCAAGGTAAATCAATCAATAAGAATTTATAAATACCTACTGTGTGCTAGGTACTATGCTAGGGGCTAGGAGTGTAAATTTAAAAAAAAACAACAACCAAACCACCAACAAACCTGAAATGATCCTTACTCACACAGTATCTAGTACTTAGTCAGATGAGCACTTAATAAATGTTTGCTAACAAGTTTACGTTGTAATGGGAAAACAATAAATACATACTAAGTAATATATAATATAAAGAGAATAAATACCAAGTACAGTTGTCCCTTCCACATTGCAAGGGGCAGGAGTGTGGCACCCTTGCGATTTGGAAAATCCCTATCAAATTCTTTGGCCCTTCCTTCGTACCAGAGAAAAGTCTGAATTTTTTTTTTTTCGTGGAGTGTTGACAGTACCTTATTGTAAAATTTGGGTTAAGTAGTTGGTCATAGGCTCAGTGTCATCAGCAGGGCTTTGTGTGTCCATGGCTTCCACAAAATTCTCCCCCATTCTTATTTAATGTTTTATGCTGACCCTCAATATATGGAAAATGTGATGGGGAAAGTTGTGATATGGAAGGGATAACTGTAGTTAAACTCAAGATACTAGTTCAAAGTTACACAGGTAATAAGTAGCAGAGACCTAATTTGGATATGTTTTCAACATCAGGGAATGCCCTGGTCTGGCTTGGTGAATTTTCCAGATACTTCTGGATTCTACTCACAGATACTTTCAAACCTAGAATATTAATATTCTACATTCCCTGATTTGGTATCTCGCAATCACAACTGTTCCTCTGGACTGGCCTATATCTTCAAAGGCATTTCATGCTCCAGGGTTTTAGTTTCTATGAAAGAAGGGACTTATGTATATGGCCCTGTATTGAAGCAGCCTCTGGGGTAGCTAAGCAGCCAGGCTTTTAGTAGATGAGTCTCACCAGGCTTTACTTCAAAAAAGTATAACTAGAAGATGTGGAAATTGTTCCACTTTTTAAAAATTAAAGCTAACACAATACTGTTTTCAATCCTTTATCTTCAATGTGCAAAGCTCTAGCAGTGACCAAGTTATCAGCACTTCCTGACAAATTAAACAGATGTAGCAGTCAATGTCAGAGGTGGCACTGGCTCGCCACATGCTCTTGTGGTTCTGCTTAGCATTCTGTGCATCCCTACTTCTGGACTCAAAGTCCTGTGCAGAGAGCAGCATAACTGTGGTCAGTAGAAGCCCTGGATGAAGATCTTTTTGAAGTTCCCCACAAGCAGTCTGTGGAAATTGTTCTTATACTTTGCTATCGAAATTTATTGGAACTGCCTCAAGTGGCTACTGAATTTGTTGACTCTGGTCACATCACAGAAAGAACTTTACCGAATGGAAGAACTATTCTTTTGCTAACCATTTTCAGTTATAAAACCAGCTCCAAGACAGGGAACTTGGCCCTTCTGTGGATGTGGTAATGGGTATGAATATTTTGGAGTCAGAGAATGTGTGACACACACTGCCATGATGATCACAGAAATGGCAGAGAGGTCCTCAATATTTCAGGCAAAAGCAGGATCCAGATCAGTCTAACATTATGGCAAGTCAGGAAGCCTTTCTAAGATAAAAGGCACAAATAAGTTACTGATGGTTTTGTAAGTACTCGGGGCTTAAAGGGGTCATTTTTCGGATGTCAGTTCATGAGAGTGGCTAATTTTTCCAACCTGTTAGCAGAAGTACTTCTCTGAGGCCTCACTGTGACATGGAGCCGACTCTGGGATCTTGAAAGGTCATGCCCATGGAGCACTGTATCTGCCAGGTTCCACCATAATCAGAAAAAGACTGATGTTGCTGTCGGGCATTTAATTCCCTCATATTCTGGCTTCAGCATACATTTTCTAGCTTGTTGTATATTACTTCCTTGCACACATTCTTAAGTTCCAAACAAACTGGCCTGTCTCTGTTCCTTATAAAAGATATTCCACCTCGTTTCTCCAGGCTTTTACAAAGGCTTTCTCCCATGCCAGGAATGTAATCCCACCTTACCTGGGTCTTTCAGAATCCCCAGTGTCCTTTGAAGGCTTAGTTCAAGTGTCTACAAATCCTATCTTTATGGTCCTAGCTGCTAAGCTCTGCCATGTACAACCAAATTACTTTGTAGGTACTTGTAATCGCTTTTTATTTACCTAGATTTATATAGGTATGCTTTTTTGTTTATTGCTAACCACAGTGGAATGCAAGCTCTTTCAGGATAGGCACTGTTTTGTCTTTTTTACTCTCCAGTGCAAGTACAGTGCCTGGTATAGAACAGGTGCCTAATAAATGTTTGTTTAATAAATGAATGCCAAAGAATGACCAACTGAGCTAAGTAAACAGGGACCCCTTGTCAGTGCACTGACCACTGACAGGTGGTAATGAATTCTTAGGGTACCTCATGAAATGAAGAAAAAGTATAAATGGCTTTTAGTCCTCCTAAATGACAACCCTCCTCCAAAAAAAAAAGAGATGATGCTAAGAATCAATCACAGTTTTAATCATTTTAAAAACATTAATTTAACTGTTAGTAATATAAATGTCAGAAGACCAATAAAATGCCATGCTATTGGAAGAAATCTATGACATCCATACTGATATGACTGAAATAAGCAAACAGACAAAACAAAGTTGTAGTTAAACTGAAGGATGGCTTAGAAGGATGGATCACAGTTGGTTTTACTATGTACCCAAAAGCAACAAGAACCATAGATCCAATGTCATCTGGCCATCACATGTTGCAATGTTTGTGATAAGCATCTATGAAAAGACCACCATAAAGATGATTGTAGCCAATATTTGTTGAAGAGAACTAAGTAGAGACAATCTATGAGAAACAAAGCATTTCTTAACCAAGTCAAAACTTATTTTGATGCTTAGTGACTTCAAAACAAAGATGAGAACAGGAGGGGGTTCCAGAAAGTATGCTGGAAAACATAGCCCATGTTTGAGAAGTAAAAGATTAAGGAAGTAAAAGTCTTTTAAGATTACTTAGAATCTATGTCTGTCTGCATGTCTCTCCTGAATATTTTCTTCCTGAAGAGTTAAAAAGTAAGTACTAAAAAAACCCCCCAAAACAACAAAAACCCACTAAAAACCACATAATAAATGAAATTTGTTAAAAAGACTGGAACTGATTGGTTACTGCTTTGGGAATGATATCAGAATCAGCCGAGTGCAGTCTGAATACAGACTTGTTTTTAAAAAGCGATAAAAATAAACATCAAGTTATAAGTGACATGAGAGGTCACATAAATGACCAAAGTGGTCCAAGCCACAAAGGTCTTTTTCAATTTTCTTTATCATCTTTATCAATTGACTGATTAATTCATTCTATATGTCTATATCTATATCTATATCTATATCTATATCTATATCTATATCTATATCTATATCTATATATTTATCTATAGACAATACTTTTGCAGTGTCTTTAAAAAATCCAAAATAGGTCCATATCACTCAGGTAAAAGGGGAGTACAGTCTAGGACAGGAGGCATCTCTGCAAGCCTGTAGTAGGCTCCACTTCAGCATCCCAGGGGGAAATCCTAAACCCCAGAGTGTGTAGTAGGTAAATGCTAACCTCAGGACCAGTTACATGCCTTAGCACAGCCAGGGTAACTAGCAGACTCCAGCTCAGAGAACCACTCCTGGCAGGCAGGCGTCTTCCATCAACCTCCCCGTGCTTCAGCTCAGCTTAGGGCAGGCAGGTCACCTCCAGCAGCAGACCTCCCAAACAGCAGACTTCCCCATGCTGCAGCACAGCCTGAGGAAAGGCAGAAAAACCCTACCTGGCCTCAGCACATGCCAGACATCACCACTAGGACCCCAGCTCAGCATCAATGAAGCTGCCATACCCCTACAGTCACCAGTGGTCAGCACCTGAGGCCTCAGGGAACAAAGCTAGTGATCAGGCCCCTGGCCCCCAGCACAAGAAGCTTGGGAGAGTGCCTCCTATGTTCTCCAGCAGGAGAGTTCAACTTAAAAAGCCAGGAAATAGGCAAACAAGATAAACAAAAAGAAAAAAAGAACCTTGACCAAAGAGAGCTTTTATGGTGACAGGGAAGAGCAAAATACAAACTCAGAAGGGGAAAAATCTGAATCCCCAAAGGGAAATATAAATTAGTCTCAAGCTCAAAAAGCCTTCTTAGAAGAGCTCAGTAAGGATTTTAAAAGTAAAATAAGAGAGGTAGAAGAAAAATTGGGAAAAGAAATGAGAGGTATGCAAGAGAGAGTCAATAGCTTGGAAAAGGAAGGACAAAAATTAACTGAAGAAAACAACTCCTTAAAAAGTAAAATTGGCCAAATGGAAAAGGAGGTACAAAAGCTAACTGAAGAAAATAATTTCTTAAAAATTATAATTGGGCAAATGGAAGCTAATGACTTCATGAGACATCAAGAATCAGTCAAACAAAATTAAAAGAATGAAAAAATAGAAGACAATGTAAAATACCTCATTGGAAAAAAAACAACTGACTTGGAAAATAGATCCAGGAAAGATAATTTAAGAATTATTGGACTATCTGAAAGCTACGATTAAAAAAAAAAAAAGAGCCTGGACAGCATCTTTCAAGAAATTAACAAGGAAAACTGCCCTGCGGAAAACCAGAGGGCAAAACTGTCACTGAAAGAATACATTGATCACTTCCTGAAAGAGATCCTAAAATGAAAACTCCAAGGGAATTGTAGCCAAATTCCAGAATTATCAGGTCAAAGAGAAAATGCTTAAAACAGCCAGAGAGAAACAACTTAAGTGTCATGGAACCACAATCAGGATTACAGAAGACTTAGCAGCTTCTACATTAAAGGCATAGACCAATATCTTACATGTATGCTAAGATAAAGTCAAAATGGGTACACGATTTAGAAATAAAGGCTATTACTATAAGCAAATTAGGAGAGCAAGGGATAGTTTACCTGGAAGAATTTATGACAAAACAAGGGATAGAGAACATTATGAAATGTAAAATGCTTAATTTTGATTAAATTAAAAGGTTTTTACACAAACAAAGCCAACGCAACCAAGATTAGAAGGAAAGCAGAAAGCTGAGAAACAACTTTTATAGCCACTTTCTCTGATAAAGGCCTCATTTCTAAAATATATAAAGAACTGAGTCAAATCTATAAGAATATAAGTTATTTCCCAATTGATAAATGATCAAAGGATACGAATAGGCAGTTTTTAGAAGAAGAAATTAAAGCTATCTATAGTCATATGAAAAAATGCTATGGACTAGAGAAATATACTATGGATTAGAGAAATGCAAATCAAAACAACTCTGAGGTACCACATGATACCTATCAGGTTTGGCAAACATGACAAAACAGGAAAATGATAAATGTTGGAGATGAGGGAAAGTTGGAACAGTAATGCATTGTTGGGAGAGTTGTGAAGTGATCCAACCATTCTGCAGAGCAATTTGGAACTATGCCCAAAAGGTTACAAAACTGTGCATATCCTTTGACCGAGCAATACCACTACTAGGTCTATACGGCAAAGAGATCATAAAAAGGGGAAAGGACCTACGTGTACAAAAATATTTATAGCAGCTCTTTTTGTGGTGGCCAAGAATTGGAAATTGAAGGGATGCCCATCAACTGGGGAATCATTAAACAAGTTGTGGTATATGAATGTAATGGAATACTATTGTTCCATAAGAAATGGTGAGCAGGCGGATTTCAGAAAAACCTGGCAAGACTTGCAGAAACTGATGTTGAATGAAGTGAGCCGAACCAGGAAAACATTACACACAGTGAAAGCAACATTATGCAATGACTGACTTTGTTAGACTTAGTTCTTCTGAGTCTCATGAAGGAAAATGTTATCCATATCCAGAGAAAGAACTATGAAAGTCTGGATGCAGAGCAAAGCATACTATTTTCTCTCTCTCATTTTTCTTTCTCATGGTTTTTACCTTTTGTTCTGATTCTTCTTTCACAAAATGACTAATGCGTTAATATGTTTAATATGATTATACATGTATAGCCTATATCATATTGCATGCCATCTTGGAAAGGGGAAAGGGGGAAAATTTAGAACTCAAAATCTTATAAAAGTGAATGTTGAAAACTAAAGATAAAAAAACCTCAAATTTTAAAAATCAAAAAAAATTATAAAACTCATTATTTTTAATTATCATTAGGTAAAAGGACCACTTTCATTTTAATAGGTCGCAAAAATCAATATGACACATTCAAAAATACTTAAGTAGGAAATTTCATTAAGATGAAAATTTTAATTATACCTTTAACCTAAAGAAAGAAAAAAAATTCTAAATGACTAACCTTTGCCAGGTAGGCCTCCACTCTGCTTTTTGAAGACATTATATTTCCAGTAGAATATACTAAATTTCCTCTTGGAATAAGACTTCTACTGAGGAACATACTAGTATTAATATTCCCAACATGTGGAGGCTCCAGAATTGGACTTGCAGTAAAACTGTTGATTAAAATTTTATTCTTCTGTTTTTCATTCAGGAGTCGGTGACTCATCTCAGCTAGCCTCTCTGTAGTTCTGTGAACATTTCAAAGCACATAAATAGTTACATTTTTCTTAGATGGTTGTTTTTTATTAATGTTATCATAATTGTGACTTTTCCCTTGGTAGTTTCTTAACTCCAAAAACAATTAAAGTATGTAGGTTATTAAAGTTTTTGCATTATTGAGTTACTTCCATTAAGGTACTTTCCCAATAAATGGTACAAAGAAATTGAGTGTAACCTTTAAAGGGAAAGGTTTTCAGACTGTCCTGGGAAAATTAAAAACAAACCCAACCAAAACACAAAAGATATTTGTAAATCTGGAATTCTTTACTAATCTGATCTTTAAGGAAGTAATTAATAAAAAGACTTGTATTCTATAAATTTATGTTGGAAATGAGTAGAGGTGTTTTAAGGGTATCAAATCTGGGTGATTATGCCAGGCAGTGCTTTTGCAGTCTTTCCACCAGGACCCAGGTAGCAGCCAAATGACTCAGGGATGCAGTCTCTAGCTCAGCTGAGGCTAAAAAAAGTCCTGAGGCTTTCAACTGTACATAATACCTACCCACCACTGTTACCAAGATATATAGCAAAGGAAAACTGCCCCATCCCTTTTTCTTTAGTATAGTATTTTTTGGCTATCCAAGCCTCTAATCTAAACCTTTCTGTTAATATTTCCTTTCTTTCTTTTCCCCTTCAATAGCTCCCTCAATGAATAGAAAACTGAATGGGTGGGGTAGCAGTAAATTGAGGGGAATGGTTCGACTTGCTGTGGGTCACCAGGATGGCCCCAAGTCCTTCAGTCCTGGCTGTCACCATTAGAAGATTATTTATAATGAGTTATATATTGATGTGATTCTGTTATACATTTTCAGAAATACTTTAAACCTTTTAATATTGTCATTTGGTGAAATGAGAATAATGCTATTCTAATTTTCAAAATATTTAACTTCATCCAGGAAGGACTCATCTGTAGCAGATAATAAAAAGAAATAATATGACACATCAATAAGACATACTTAAAAATAATTTTCATAAAATCATAGATTGAGAACTAAAAGAGATCTCAGAAGCCACCTAATCAAACATCCTCATTTTAAAGATGAGGAAACTGAAGTCCTGGGAGGTTAAGTGACTTGCTCAAGGTCATACAGCAGTTATCATCAGAGGCAAGATTTGAAGCCAAATCCTCTGACTCTACAGCCAGAGTACCATCTTTCCAATGTACCACACTGCATTCTTTTGTTAACCTTGTCAACATTTTAAAAATTATTTGGTTTACCAATATGCATAAAAGTATAATCTCTACAGTTAACCCCCATTTCCCAATGAAGTCATAAATCAATCCATTAAAGAGTCGTTAAATTCAAAATGGAAAACCTTAAAAGCAATCTGATAAGTTTAGGTACTATATTCTTAGTGTCCGTGTTTGGGCTTACCTGTCTACTTTGTTTGACAATGATTTTCTGATTTTTAATTCTTCACAATAAAGCTGTCTGTATCTCTCTATCTCTGCCTCAGTTGAGTCTTGATGTGAGTTTTTCATTTTGGAGAGTTCAGTTTCCAGATCTCTAATTCGTTGTTCCATTTGGTTTCTTATTGAAGCATTGTTATTTTCTCTTAATTGTTCTAAGTTGTCTCGGGATGCTGCTTGTGTCTAAACCAAATGCAAAACAAGGAACAAAGTTAACAAAAAAACCCCAAAACTTGCCCAACTCTACCCTGAAAATTATAAGATGTTTGTTACCACATTCTTTTAGGTTACATTTTAATTTCAATTAGTGATTCAGAGAACAATTCTGATTTTCTAAAATTAGATTCTAACTTTGAAGGCACTAATTATCAAGGTAAGCTGAATTAAATTTGAACTTAAAAAACAACAATCCCAGTTCTATTGGATGTTAATTCACTAGTTCTTATCCTAGTGAATTAGTATCATTATAAAAACAACAGGTATAGGGTGGAGCCAGGATGGCAGGGTAAAAGCAGTGACTTGCTTGAGTTTTCCCCCAAACCCCTCCAAATACCTGTCTCTAAATAAATTCTAGAGCAGCAGAACCCACAAAAAGACAGAGTGAAACAAATTTTCAGCCCACAGCCTGGATGGTTGATTGGAAAGGCCTATTGTGCCTGGCTGGAAGAGGAACACAGTTCAGCGTAATAGGCCCGGCAGGTGAAGACCAGGCCTCAGCAAATCTGGAGCAGCCCTCAGGGGACTGAATCACAGGCAGCTGTGGTGGTTTCCAGACTTCTCAACCCACAAACACCAAAGACAACTTAGAAAGACAGTAGGAAAGGTGTGTGACCATGGTGAGAGAAAAGCCTGGTCCTGGCCCCGGTCCTGGCCCTTTCCTGCAAAAAATGTCAAACCACAGAATCTTTCTTTGGTGACAAAGATCAAAACATACAACCAGAGAAGACAACAAAGTCAAAGCTCCTACATCCAAAGCCTCCAAGAAAAATATGAATGAGTCCCAGGCCACTGAGGAGTTCAAAAAGGATTTTGAGAAGCAAGTAAGAGAAGTAGAGGAAAAACAGTGAAGTGAAATGAGAGTGATGCAAGAAAATCATGAAAAACAATTCAACAGCTTGCTAAAGAAGACCCAAAAAAATACTGAAGAAAATAGCACCTTAAAAAATAGCCTAACCCAAATGGCAAAAGAGGTCCAGGACAAGAATGACTTTAAAAGCAAAACAGGCCAAATGGAAAAGGAAGTCCAAAAGCTCACTGAAGAAAATACTCCTTAAAAATTAGAATGGAGCAACTGGAAGCTAGTGACGTTATGAGAGATCAAGACACTGTAAAACGAAACCAAGAGAATGAAAAAATAGAAGACAATGTGAAATATCTCATTGGAAAAACAACTGACCTGGAAAATAGATCCAGGAGAGACAATTTAAAATTTATTGGACTATCTGAAAGCCATGATCAAAAAGAGCCTAGACATCATCTTTCAAGAAATTATCAAGGAAAATTGCCCTGATATCCTAGAACCAGAGGGTAAAATAGAAATTGAAAGAATCCACCAATCACCTCCTGAAAGAGATCCCCAAAGGAAAACTCCTAGGAATATTGTAGCCAAATTCCAGAGTTCCCAGGTCAAGGAGGGAATATTGCAAGAATCAAGAAAGAAACAATTCAGGTATTGTGGAAGCACAATCAGGGTAACACTAGATTTAGTGGCTTCTACATTAAGGGATTGGAGGGCTTGGAATATGATATTCTGGAGGGCAAAGGAGCTAGGATAAAAACCAAAAGTCACCTACCCAGCAAAATGAAGTATAGTTCTTTAGGGCAAAATATGGACATTCAGTGAAATAGAGGATTTTCAAGCATTCTTCATGAAAAGACCACAGCTGAATAGAAAATCTGACTTTCAAATACAAGACTCAAGAGAAGCAAGAAGAGGTAAAGTGAAATCATAAGGGACTTATTTATAAAGGTTGAACTGTTTATATTCATACATGGAAAGATGATATTTGTAACTCATAAGACCTTTGTCAGTATGAGGATAGTTGGAGGGAAAAATTACATATATAAATAGATACACAGATAGATAGATAGAGGGCACAGGGTGAATTGAAGATGAAGAGGTGATATCTGGAGAATAAAATTAAGGGGTGAGAGAGGATTATACTGGGAGAAGGAGAAAGGGAGATGTAGAATGGGGTAAATTATCGCATATAAAAGGGGCAAGAAAAAGTTTTCACAGTGTAGGGGAAGTGGGGGAAGGTGAGAGGGAATGAGAATTATTCTCATGAGATTTGGCTTAAAGTGGGAATAACGTATACAATCAATTGAATATGGAAATCTATCTTCCCCTACAGGAAAATAGGGGGGAAGGGCTTATATAAGAGGAGGGGGATGATAAAGGGGAGGACTAATTGGAGCAGGGTGTAATCAGAAGCAAACACTTCTGAGGAGGTACAAGGTCAAAAGAGAGAATAGAATAAATGGGGGGGGCAAGTTAGGATGAAGGGAAATACAGTTCGTTTTCCACAACATGACTACTATGGAAGTGTTTTGCATGACTACACATCTAAAACCTGTATGGAGTTGCCTGTCTTCTCAATGAGGGAAGGAAGAAAGGAAAAAATTTGGAACCGAAGTTTTAAAAAGAAATGTTAAAAATTGTTTTCACATGCAACTGGGAAATAAGATATATAGGCAATGGGGTATAGAAATCTATTCTGCCCTACAGGAAAAAAGAAGGGGAAGGGGATAAGAGAAGGGACAGAGGGATAGAAGGGAGGGCAGATTAGGGGAAGAGGTATTCACAATGAATGCTGTTTTGGAGTGGGAGAAGAGATGAGATGAGAATATTTGGAACTAAAAATCTTGTGAAAGTGAATGCTGAAAACTAAAAACAAATTAATAGAAAAAAATAAAAACAATTTAAAAAATTTAAAAAAAAAACACAAAAAGAAAAGCTAGGACCACTCCCAATCAGAGTGAGGAAACTTGCTAGGTTCTCTTACAGTAAAGAGTTAATTTTATCTGATAGATTATTTGGTTATCACTTCTGAAAATATTGATGTTAATAAAATTAGAATGAATTGAAATTACATCTTTGAACCAATTTGGTAACAATATACTTTAGATTCAGAGATTTTATTTTGCCTCAGAGCTTCACAGGCATTACATGTTAGTTTGGTGATTCATGGTAATGGCATTTTTCTGTGGTTTTGAGTCAATTATCAGGTATTCACTATATGTGTTCAGAATGTGATTATTCTTAATTTGTATATGAAGAAGAAATGAAATGTTTTTATATATGTACATTGTTAATTATTATTACAATAATTTCTTAGCTGTAATTAGTGAAATTTTGCTATTTGAGGCAATATCTCTTGTGCTTGTAATTTGATATTATTCTGAGTTTGATTTCAGGTATGGTTGTCTAGTTATTATTAAACCACCAGTATTAAATCCACCATCCAAGGGAAATGCCCTATGCATTTCTGTGAACCTGTGTCTGTGAATTGTTACAAGTGGACATCTGTTCCTAGGGAAAGCTGAGGGGATAACTTTAGCATGGACAAAGGGAGGATCCTCTTGACTCAGTTTCCCCATTGTACAATTTCCTTTTTAAACAGGAAATTTTCCCACCTAGTTAATTCTGGGCCTGGCTATAATACCCTGTGAATAAACATGGAGCTTTGCTAAAAAACAAAAACAAAAACAAACAAAAAAAATAAAACAGGCATAATTATTAAAAAAAATTAACTCTAACTCCAGAATCTTCCAGAATGTTTTATTACAACTAAAACCTTTGTTGAATTAAAAACAAAACATTTCACCTTTCAATTTTTTTTCTAATTATGCCAATTATTTTTTAAAACTCAATCAATATGTATACAGCATTGACCCTGGAGTCAGGAGGACATGAATTCAAATCTGGCCTCAGAGACTTGACACTTACTAGCTGTATGATAAAAGTGATGGGGGCAGCTAGGTGATGCAGTGGATAGACCTCTGGCCTTGGAGTCAGGAGGACCTAAGCTCAAATCCAACCTCAGATACTTGATACTTACTAGCTGTGTGACCTTGGGTGAGTCACTTAACCCCAACTGCCTCACCAAAAAAAAAAAAGCAAAAACAAATAAATAGTAGTGATAATCATATAGTAATATAGCATATAATATTATATTATTATATTACATATTATTACATGTGATTATATATGATAGTTATATATTATTAATAATATAGCATATTATCATGTAATAAAGCAATAATAAAAAGCATAGTAATTATAAAGTAACCTGTAAGAATAAGTTGACTTCTTTTAGTTTTTCTACAATTTCCTGCCTCGCTCGTTCTTCAATCTCACGTTTATATTGTTCTATTTGACTGCCTTCTAGCTTAGTAATTTCCAAATGATGCTTAAGATTAACTACTTCTTCTTCCAATTGTCTTTTATTCTCTTCCAGCTTGTCACATTTCTTTTGCAAGATTTTCATGGAAAATAACTCTTCTCGAAGACTCTGGTTCATTGATTCCAACTGTTTACATTTTGAAGACGCTGCTTCCAACTGTTGTGTAAGGTCTTCAATCTGTTTGCATAAAATATCAATTTAGCAAATTATACAAGTAAAATTTAGGTCTTTCAATTTAAATACTAATTTAAAACTGAAGATTAAATTATTTTTAATTCAGATATAATTAAATGTATCAATATTCTTATATTACAGCTACAAAATGTATTTCCTAAAATGATCATTAGGTAAATCAACAAACGAAAAACAAAGTTAAGACTGAAAGGAGAAACCATGAAATGATATTACTAGCTCTTACAGTCGGTATCATCCACATCTAGTACTTGATCCCATATCTTCCATGTTCTCCAATTTTTCCATATGTCTTTTCTGCCCAGCTTTTAGTACAGTGAGCAGATATCAATAAAATTCATAGTAGATGGATATCAACAAATTCTTCTTAAGTTATGCTACGCTTAAAGCAACAATAGATCTTAAAAGGAATTTGGAAAGAAATGAGATTCCTTTTCATCATCCTAATGAGAACACTGATTCTATGATGATAGACTTTACTGAGAAAGCAAATAAATTTATGGTAATTTGAATGTCACATGGTCAGTTTCAGAGCCCGAGAAAATCACGTCTTTTTCATCTACAAAACTCTAGTGATAGTGCCCAGGGAACACATCACATTTACCAGAGATTCTATTATGTAATATCCCTCTTCCTGCTCCCCAAGTACCTCACAATATAAACCAACAAGCTTAGCAGGACTTCCACCTGTTTTCCTTCAGGCCCAGGAGTTAGATGACTGACTGAAATAAGTGACAAATAAAAAAGCGTGACACCACCGAGTTCCAAAGGGCAAAAACTCAATGTATGTTAAGAAGTTAATTCTTTTAGATAAATATTGATGAGAACTGCAAGACAGCAGACACTAACTAGGAAAATTAATGATAGTAAAATAAGATGTTTTTAAGGAGTCACTTATTATAGGAAAAAAAAATACTACTAGTTAGCATTTACATAGCACTTTAAAGTTGGCCAATGCCAACTTGTTCACTTGAACACTTATGCTATTTTTCAAAACCTCTTTAGGAATTTCCCCCAACCTGTGGTGGCCTAAAGGTGTTAGAGTTGGGGAAATGTTTCAATATCATCAAATATCAGAATCTTAAAAAAAAAGAAAAGAAAAGAAAAGAAAAGAAAAGTAGCAGCTTCAGATGAATTAGTCAATTTATTATTCTTCCATCAGGGGGGAATATCTTTGCTTCCCTAAAATACAAAAGTGATGAATAGGGCATACTGCAATGAAATGGTTTTCACCCACTTACTGGTGAAATGAAGTGAAAATCTTCTAAGTACTAGAGTCCTTCTCTCTCTTAAGCCAACTCAAGTCCCATTTTTAGAGAGAAAGTCCTTAATTTTTATAACTCTGTCTTATATTATGAAGTCTCTTAATAGTAGCAGTGATCACCTTGCAATCAAACTCTTGCTTAATTTGTTCTTTGTCATCTTAAAATCTGTGAAAGAACTACTGCTTTTTAAATTGTTTCTGCCTATTAGTCATCCTTTCAGGGAGATAATTTTTCATCTTTAAGATTTCAGAAGCAGAGTGTCAGAAGGGAGTGCCAAAGTTCTAAGAGGCCCTGCAAATACTGACCTTAAAAGGCTTTTCAGCCCCTGATTTCTTCAAACAGCCCACTTCTAGATATATTCTAGTTGACATGAATTCTATAATGGGAGTAGAGAGGAAAAATTCTAATACACAAATCTACATAAAAAGTCACTGGAGCCCAGAATTTTCAGGGAGATATAAAGTTTGCAAGGTTGTCTATTGAGTCCCTGAGAACAACAGGAATTGTGTAACTAGGACTTAGATAGAAAGTGCTGCTTTCCAAGCATGGGGAAGATGTAAATCTTCTCATGGCTACTAACGTCCAGTGACCTGCTACATATATGTATGTGTGTATGTATGCATGCGGATATATATGTATGTGGACATATGTATACATATCGATATACATATATATGTAGATACAGATATGTGTTTAACCATTTCAAAAGCAATATAAAGATAAGACACTTCATGTTTTCCAATATTAAGGATTACCTTATTTTTTAACCTATTAATTTGTCTATCCGTTTCAGAATGTGTTTGCTTCAGTGCCCCCTTGTAAACATCTCCTTTTTCATATTCTCTTAATTTCTTTTGTGTTGTTTTCAACAGTTTTTTAAATCTGTGAGAATGAACAGAATAATTAAGTCAAACTCTTTATAGCTTAAATATTATAGATTCAAAAAGTATTATTTTTGACCCATTGCCTTAACTTATTTTCAATCATAGAGAAGAAAATAAATCTAAAAAGAGTTCTTGAGGTCAGCCAACTCAAATCTGACAATATTTTGTTAAAAAAACCAAAGGAAACAGTAGCCTCACTAATCATTTCATCTCTATATCAAATGATGTATATTCAACATCAGCTCTTCATCAATTTTACTTTATTGTAGAATAGTCTCCAAATGATCTGGTTATGCTGTAATATTTGTAGAAAAGGTGATTATCTTCCACTAATATAATCTAAAATTTAAATGAGTAAATTTATTTCAAAAAAAGTTTTATGGGAATGTTTTGTACCTTTATTATTTTAATTGTAGATCTGTGTAAATTAGGTGGCCAAGTACTTAAATGCCGTAGCCCACACAACACAAATGGTATCATTTAATGTTATTAGAATATGAAGTTGCATTTAAAATGTTTGCATAGTGGTTGTCCCTAACTTGAAAAGTCAATTGCATCTCATAATTTACTTTGTAAATTGCCTGGTTGCAACAGTGAATGAATCTTCCCCCTGAGAGCTAGTGCTCTAATAGAAGCCCACAAAAACCTAATTAAACCATAACACAGCTGAATTACAGTTCTGGAAAATGCATGATTTGGAGACTCTCCTCTGCCACTGAAACAGCAGCCTGTGTGGTCAGAGGATTTGACACCTCAACAGTGGTGGTCTCTTGCCATATTCAATTAAAATTCATCAATTGGAATTCAATAAAAATTCCATTAGAAAGAATCAAGTGCTTAGCCCTAAAGGTCGTGATACAATACAAAATTTAGATAGATTATGGTCCATGCTCTCATTCAATTAGAATATCAGATATACATGTAGATAATTATGATACACAACAAAATGTAAGAGCTTCAGGGGGAGTGTAGTGGAAATTGTGATGTGAAGTCTGATGGTGAAGGTCATTCATTATCAACAACAGAGATCAGAGTTGGCTCCATAGAAGAGGTGCATTTGCATGAGGATAAGTGCAGAGGCCATGGGTGAACATTACAGGCACAGGGCAAAGGTGGGAAAGCGCAGTGTTCTGAAGGACAGAAAACAGTCCAGTTTAACAGGAGCTTAAGTTGTAGAAGAGGGAATAATATAATTTAAGTGTGGAAAGGCAGGATGCTGCCACATTGTGAAAGACTTAAATTTCAAGCCAAGTAATTTTGTAAAGTCTAACTCAAAACTCATATCCTTAATACAATCTTGCTGATCCCACAAAGACAGAAAAGATCTTTACCTCTTTCAGTCTCTGGTTGCATTTTCTATGGACCATTCTTAAGCATTTTACCACATTCTTATTTGCACATGGTATTGAAGTCCCTGAATTACCTCTTTTACTACAATGTAATCATTTCAATTATCATTCATTATTCATCTCTGTAACTCCAGGGTCTAGCACAGTATTTTGTACACAAGAGATGTTTAATAATACTTTTTGAATGAATGATAAAGGAAGGAATAAGTGAATAATGAAGAAAATAAATTAGCATGAAGAACATAGAGACCAACCTTATAGAAACAATTTATGTTCAGTAATAGGACACTTAAAAAGGGACTGACAAATGCTGGATAGTATAATTCTGGAAAACATACTTAACAGTACAGGTGCTACACAGCATTTTACTATAATTTCAAAGATGAAAGTTAGAATGTTTGATTTTCAGCAATAATTTAGTGAATAAAATGAAAATGAAAAAACTTATTGCTCATTTAAAATTATATATACTGTAATTATCCAAGTCTTCATGTATAAAATGAATGTGTACTTAGGATTTAATAGACACTTAAGTCCTTGATTACTTAATATTTGGTTGAAACAATTTGCAGAAAAGAGTCTTACCCACTGAGTTCTTTCTGTAATTCATCATTTCTTTTCATTTCTTTTTCTAGACGATTTCCCAGAGATTGCTTTAACTCAATGACTTTCTTTAATTTCTCCTTTTCAGTATCAAGCTTTGAAAACATTTTCACAATGAAAAATGTTACAAGAACAGAACTGGCATTTTAAAAAAAGATACTTTTCATTAATTCCAGATCCAATTCTAAATATCAATTTAAGCGTAGTTTATAAAATCAACACAAATATGGAAAGATTGATCTTACTTAAAACATAGCCTTCCTCTGATTTTGCTACAAACTGTTTCTGTGAAATTTAGATTAATGATAGTTCTCATTTTATTTCAATATAGGTATTAATTACACTAATAATGTTAATAAATTTTAAAATGGTTGAAATGCATAGGAATGCATAAAATGTGGGCCAAGTTTGCCAATACACCTTGCAGGAATGCTGGCCTTCCCCCTTTCTCTACAGCCAAAGGAAACGGTCACTTCATCCTCATTCCTCCTGTTGGCACACCTGGCCTATGTTCTAAGCATTCCTATGTTGAAATGTCTATATATGTGTTCTTATGTTAGGCTATAAAACTCTTCTCCAAATCTCTTTCTATTTGGCTAAGTGAGATGCAACCTGTGTAAATTCATATTTTGTTATTCTCTTTGAGTGCTATCTATTGCTCTAGATTACGAGCCAAGTAAACGATCTGTCCTTTTGACAACTTCCTTTCAAGGTTTTCAATCTCTCCCTTCTCCAGGGGTCTTATCTATCTTACAAAGGAAGAAAGAACCCTCCTCATTCTGCTGAATTCTGCTGCCCCTTTTAGATTCACTCTTCTTTCTCCTCTTTGATTCCAAACTTCTCAATGAATGACTATCTCACAGCTGCCATGTCTTCATCTATTATTCCCATTTCATTCATCTATTTATTTCTGATTGTTTGCTTATTTGGTCTGCATCTGTGATTTAATTGGTATAGGGAACAGACAGGCCCTGTGCCCAGCCTGCAGTTCAGAATCTGCAGCTCTCAGAGTCTTAGGGAATGGCTTAGGGCACCAAGAGTTTACAAGGCTTGCCCAGGATCACAAAGCCATCTATGTCAGAGTTGGTATCTGAATCCTTGTTTTCCTGACTCTGAGGCTAGCTCTCTATGCAAATAACATAGTGCTTTTCTTTATTTCCATAGAATCTGGATTACCTCCCTACTGGTCTACTGAAAGTGCATTGTCAATCGTTCTATCTGTACCCGAAAACCTTTCTTCTTAGTATATGATTTCACTGCAACATAGGATCCTGTTTCTCTTATCTGATGTGTCATTTATTATCCCTGTAAATTATCCCTTCTCAGTGTTTCTCTTCCCTGTTTTATATCATGACTACCACCTTAGTCTAGACCTATTACCCCAAGCAGAGGATCATAAATTGAGAGGTGAATACCTTATTCCAACTTTCTCATTTTAAAGATTAGGAAATAGGCACAGTGATATTAAGTCACTCGCCTACGGTTTAATTTAAAAAAAAAAGGTTCTACAGGGTCTTTGTGTTTTAGTTTCACCCCCACACCAATCCTTATTACAAGATGCTAAGTTAATCTTCATAAAATGTTGTTTAGATCATATTAATGATCTAAAAACTCAAGAACCTACAATGGGTTTGCTATGGTCTACCAGATTAAAGACTAAACTTCTCTGCCTTTCTTCCTCTAAAATCTAACCACATCCTATTTTTTCCAGCTTTTACTTGTAGTTTCTTTACAGCAATCCTCCTCACATTCCTGTAGTTTTGCTTTTTTCCTGGACTGTATTGTTCTCCTATCCTATTGAACCCTTCCCAATCCTCAAAAGCAACTCGAGTTCGATCTTTTCTCCAAAGTTTTCTTGGTATCTTACAACAAAGATCTCTTCCTTAACTACATTCTTTGATACAGTGAGCATGCCATTCTAGTTAGCTTCTAATTTTTGTGCCACCACTCACTTTAGTTCTTTATTATTTCAGTCTCTATTGCTGAAATATTGTATAGGTACATGGCAGGAATTCATTACATATTTTTCAATGGTAGATTTGGGAGAGCTGAATAGATTAGAGAATAAGAACAAGCAACCGGAGTTCACTCACTTAGAATTGTAGACTGTTACAGTAAAAATGGACCCTAGTGATGAGTTAGTACATCTTTTATATATGAGGAAACTCAGGCCTGAAGAGAGAAAACCACTTGTCAAAAGTCATATGGACAGCAAGGGGCTGAGCCAGGACTCAAAATCTTGGAAAAGTCACCTTCAGATGTAGGTTTTTATTCAATTATAAGTATGCAATCATCTAAAACACATGTTACTAAATTTAGCAAGTTGGCAATTTTCTTCCAAAAGAGGTGCTAATTCCAAAAATTTGTATTGAGTAATTTTTTATGTTGGAAGGACTGGATTAAGTACCATCTTCACTAATCTCTAACCATAGTGTTCTTTCCCTTTTATATATGCTTTATAAGCTACTTACTTATATGCCATTCACTTGGTACTTATTTATATGCTACCTTGTATTATAAATGAACTTCCTCTACTTTGCACTGGCTTCCCAGTAACACTGAAAATTCTTCCAGGAGAGAGGGTATGTGTTACACATATTCTTTTTAACCCGGTCAGAACCTGTCATAGTATAATTCACATACTTGACATTCACTAGTTGATGGGTTAAATGTTGAACAAGAAAGAAACAGTAATTTCACCTAATTCTTACATAGTAAAAGCTTAGTTACTTGTATGATCAGGGAAAGAAGACAGGGAAGAAATGGTGCCAGCTTATTTTGAATGCCAATTAACTGAGCTAATTCATACTGCCAAAGATGGACTCTAATTTACTGCTTCCTTGCTATACTTCCTAAGGCTCAGTCCACACCTAGTTTCTAGCCTGAAGCCAGGAGCCAAAAGCTTTTGAAGGTTAATATTTTAATCAATGTGGGCCAAAAAGAACAGGAGGGAAATAAAGAGAATGAGTCACAGGGGAGTTACTTGGGAAACAAAACTTATTTTGGTTCCAGTTCTGATTTCTGAAACCTAGAAATATTTCTCTAGCATACAAATATGAAAGAAAAGAAGTTTTCATAAGAATGAGATTGGACCTAACAATTATTTCTTAGTTAAAACAATTATACTGAAGTTCACCAGGTACGAGAACTGTTTTTGCAACATTAGGAGGTGCTTATCAAATGGTGGGAAGCAGTGATTACTTAAATGCAACATACAATATTGGCCTTTATGCTTTTGGAGCAGAGAAACAAGCATTTATTAAGTGCTATTTGATTCTCACCACAGCCCTGAGAGGTAGGTGCTATTATTATCCCCATCATTTTATAGTTGAAACTGAGAAAGATTAAGTGACTTGCCTAGGATCACAAAGACAACATCTGAGGCTACATCTAACATCAGGTCTTTCTAACTCCAGGCCCAAAGTTCTATCACCATCTGCACCAAGCAGCCTCTAAACAGAGAAAATCTCTTCATCAAAAACTCCATGTTTGGCTGCTTTGGCATTGATTTCCATTACTTTACAATTGATGATGGTTACTAGCTTGAAAACATGTTTTGAAGGATACCAGAAATATCCATTTCTACACCTTTTGACTGGAATAATGATGAACAGCATACCTTTAACTATACATAAATGTGTGAAAGAAACCTAGAATTGAGGAATATATTTTATAGTAATAAAGGGAACACTTTAGAAGAATTTGACTGTGAAACTGCATTCTATGCTGAAGTTCTCCTTCATTATGATAGTTTTTCATAATAATAAAAAGTAAAATAATTTTCTACTGAATTTCTATTTTGCCATTGGGGGACTCTGGGCAATTGAAAATTTATAATATCAGACTAGAAAAACTCAAAGTTTTTTAGTCCAAATATTACCTTGTAGTAATTTTAATTGTAGCTAAACTTTCAACTCATGGCAAAGTCAACAAATAAACATTTATTTAGCATGTTCTTTTACTACTACAACTATTACTACTACTACTACTACTACTACTACTACTACTACTACTACTACTACTACTACTACTACTACTACTACAATAATAAGTATTACTCCTACTATCAACATGCTGTGAAAAGGAAGTTCTATGGAAGATAAAGAAGTATAAATAATCCCTGTCCTCAAGGAATTACAATCTAGTTGGGGAAACAAGACTTAGATACAGGAAATGATAGTTTGATAATAGATATAAATACCATAAGGCAATCAATATACAGTTACATACTAAATTATATAGTATCAGATGAAAAGTGGAATTCAGGAGAATTCACCTTCAGAAGAAGGGCTGAAAAGCCAAAAACAAAGGCTTATGGCAAAAGAATCATCCTTTTGGAACTGAAAAGGATCTTAGAGGTGAAGGTGATATTTGAGAAGCAGGGTGCTGAAGAATGGATAGGTTTGGATAGGTAGCATAGATGGGGAAGTATAACTAACTAAGTAAGAAGAAGGGCATGACTGAGGGTATGGAGATAGAAATCAACATGGTGAGATCAGTTTGAATAAATTAGAAGATAATATGAGATTATCCACCTAATTACTTTAATTCTCAATTTCACTTTCCAAGCACAATTTATATACTTTCAAATTGTGAAGTAATATCATTTTCCTTTCATTTAAGGAGTAGTTTGAATAGAAACAAACAAGTAACTTCTACTTCATAGAACTGTTTAGGGGATTAAATGAGATAATGTATGTAAAGGACTTTCTAACCATAAAGTATGATAGAAATGATTTAGTTATTATTGTTCCTTAGAAAACACCTCATTCCTTGTGTGAGGATAAACAAAATTGTCAGCCACCCAAAGGGTGAATATAATGAGCCCAATTTAAGAGTACAAATGGTATAGGTTATAAGTATTGTTCTAAGTCAGTTTAAATGACAGGCACAGTGTTCAGGAAATACATAATATTGGTAAAAAAGAAAAAAAACAACCCCACAAACATTATACTGAAAACACTTTCCACTAATCAGTGACAAATTACCAATTTTTTGCATACATACTTTACTTTTAGTTTGATCGATTTCATTCTGTAGTTGTTTTTTCTTATCTTCAAAATCATTTTGATAAAGTGATGTAACCTCTAGTGAAGCTTCTGTCATGGATTGTTTTTTCAGGGAATCAGCAAGTTCTTCTTGAAGCCTTTTTACTGCACCCTGATAGAAATATGCCCAAACTATTTCTATTACTGATTTCATAAATCAATATTAGCTTGTATGAAAAATATGCCTTCAAAATTAGTTGATGTAAATATTTTCACACATATAATTTAATTAACATATTCATAGTGATCATAGACTTAGAACTAGAAAAATTCTTATTTTATTTAATCAAGTATTTAATCAATTTCTCATTTTGCAGATGAGGAAACTAAGCCCCAAAGAGGTCAAATGAGTTACTCAAGTTCTAAAGGTAGTAATTAATAGAGAAAAGGATTGGAACTTAGTTCCTGAGACTACAAAGTTCTTTTGACTATACCACTCACCCTCCATTCACCATGGATCAAATGCTATCTTCCTACTTGCTCAATATTCTCCTCATAAAGCAATGCATTCAGCCTGATTTCCCCATTCCATCTTTTTAAGAATTATAACACCTCCAAAGCCATATAGGAGATAAAATTTTTTTAAGTATAATTCACATGGAAGGTGGAGAAATGGGGAAGGGGAAGAATATATAGCTTTCTATATTTGATAGAAACATTAGGGATTTTTTCCTTCCATTTTTTCAGAGAAGTAACTACCTTAGTTCTTTGCACTGGCCTTTATAAGAATGAGGACATCTATAAGAAAAAGTTGTATTTTCCTTCCTCTCATAGGTTGCCCTGGAGATGAACATATATACTCATATGCCTGTTAGGCTAGGTAAAAGGACTTGAAGTGATAGTTTGCTGACAGAAAACAAAAAGGTAGAGTGGAGGGTTTGCTAACTTCTATACACATCAACTGTCCTTGCCAAGTATTCAAAGCAGTTCCTTTTTCTGTTAGGATAGGAATTACATTCCTGTTTGCATTCAAGGGATAGAAAAAGGGGAAACTGTAAAAAATATGGTAATTCTCCCACTTACATATACACAGTCTGGTGCAAGGTCACAGCTAAAAGGGAAGTCATTTCATTCTCTAGCCTAGCAGGAATACCTATATACATACATAAACACACACATGTGTACATGTACACATAGATACACAAATACACAGATATATGTATATACAGATATGCTATAAAAAAATCCTGTTCATTTTCATTATACAGCAAAGTAAATTATTGCACAAATTACTAATAGCAAATGAAGCTAAAAAGCCAAAGAAATTAAATTTTTTCTATCTTATTAGATAAGAGTAAGTATCTTGTAAAAATAAATTTAAATAAAGTCTAGTAAAATTTTTAAAGGAAATACAAGCTAAAAGAAGCCCATGTGCAAGGAAAAATTGGCATAATTAATTGAATTTCTACAAATAAGCTAAATTCCAGTATGAATGACTAGATTCAAACACATGATCACATATACTAAAAATAAAATAAAAAAAAAAATTATTGTTACCCAGTACAATACTTGGTAGTCCTGCCACCCAATGCATATATGAAAAATCACAGATAATGAGAATTGCTATTAGACTCTAAAAAGATATCTGTCTTTAACAAATGAAAGGCAGCGATCCTAGAAACTGCAGTTTTGTACATTAAGCAAGAAATGTTAGTAAAACAGTGAAAAAATACTGAGATAAATTTAAAAAAAAAAATCTAGTGGGGAAGCAAAAACACATTTTTTAAAAAAATGTCACTGTTACCACACACAAAAAAAGAAGGCTCAATGCACAATCATAATGTCTTTGAACAGATTACTATCCTAAATTTTAAAGAAAAGTAGTTACTAGTCTTTGGAATTTCATTAAAAATATAATCCAGTATCTAATATTTCTAAAATTATATCCAAGTAGTTTGAATTAAAACTAGTCAGGTTCAGAAAAGGTTGTGAAAACAGTAACTATAATATCCCACAGTATCTCAATTCAGATGTCCAATTTGAATTGTCATATTAACACTAACATAATTTTTCAGGATTTATCTTAAGTTTTAGCATTTCAAATAATTCATTCCATTGCAGTATTAAAATGGAATATTATGCTTATTATTAGAATTATAAATCCATCAGTATTTATTTACAAGTGATTAAATCTATCTACATTTATCAAACCGACACTTTGCCTTTAAAATTTCATGGACTACATAATATTTTTAAGTAAAGTAAGTCACCTTATCTAAAAGATGAATATCAGGTTGATTATTTTCATATTATTTCTTCTTCATTCTCCATGCTTACTTGTCAGAATTTTTACAATGAAAATTAGTAACATCATCTGTCTGCTAAAAATTCAAATTCCTAATTTACCTTGATCAAAATTACTTTTAATTTCATTTCAAAAAGTGAAATGCTTATCAAATGATATTATTTAAAGACCTACCTCTCTTTCTGCTTTCTCATTTTCATATTTACACATTTGCTCTCTTAAGTAGTTACATTCACTGATTAACTCTTTATTTCTGTCTTCTACCATATGAACTTGTTTTTCAGTATCAGCACGAAGTTTATTGAAGAGATCAATAAACTGTACCTGGGCATCACTCAGTACATTTTCTTTAAGGATGCCTTTGTTTTGGGCATCTTCAAGCTGTTGCCGAAGCAACATATTTTCACTCTGGATTTGGGCTAATCTTTCTTGGATAGATTCATATTTGATGATATATTTGTTCAGTTTTTCCTTTTCCATTTGATTTGTGTGTTCCAGTTCCTTTGCTTTATATTGGACCTGGTTTAATTCTCTTTGTGCGCTTTCTAAAATGTGTGTCTTTTCTCTGAGGGAATCATGTACACGGTATAGCTCATTTTCTAAACTATTGGCTTTACTTTCAGCTTTAGAGAGCTCTTGAGAAAGGACACCATTGTTCTCTCTTAGACTAGACAAGTCATAATTTAGTTTGTCCTGTAAACGAAGCCACTCATCTCGTTCTCGCTGAAAGCTATGTTCGAGGTCTAGTTTTGTTGTCTGACTTCGTTCATGATCACGAAGAGCAGAAGTCAGACGGGAACGGTATGATTCAATTTCTGTCTCTAGTCTGTCTCTGTTTTGTTTTTCATTCTTGAATTTAGAGCTCAGGATTTCATTCTCAGTTGTCAAAACATTTACTTGTTCACTGTACTGGGATATTGTTTTTGTTAATGCTTCTTCATTCAGTTTTAATTCCTTTTGAAGCTCATCATTCTTTTCTTTTAAAACTTCATTTTCTCTTGTATATTGATTTTCTTTCTCCTGATCTTTAATTTTTACTGTGTCTAGTTCCAGTTTAAGCATGGCAACTTCATCCTGTAGGTTTTGATTCTTATGCAGGAGATATTTTTCTTTTTCATTGCTATCAGGAACCTAAACACAATAAGCAGAAAAAAATTGCTACTAAAAATAAAATTATGCATTCTGATTTTTCCTTAATAACTAAAACTTAAACTCCTAGCGCCAAGAAGCATAGTTCATTCAAAGAAAAAGTAAATTGAGTGAGTTTCATCTATTTCACATTTCTGTCAGACTCAATTTTCCCAAAGAACAGATCTTAAAAGTGCTACATCAATCAGAAGATATGTACTTTGGATATTCAGTCCTCAAAATAAGATATGCATTTCATTATATGATATAGAGTACATTTTATAAACCCTGTAGTTTTAGGCCCCCAAATCTGTCTGCCTTTCCGCATACTTTATTTCCTTTGCTATATCCATTTGATCCCACAGTGGCTAGGCATGGTATTACGATAAAAATAACAACACCTGCTATTTACAAAGTCCTTTTAAAGTTTCCAAAGTACTTTTGAGACATTATCTTTCATAAGCCTTGCAACACACTTATGAGGGAAATATTCATATTATTCTCCCCATTTTAAAGATTAGGACTTAGGTTAGGAAAAGTTATTAAATTATCTACTCATTGTCGTACCTAGTAAGTGCTAGAAGCAGTATCTGAATCCAGGTCTCTTCAGACTCCAAATCTAGCACTCTTTTCCAATAGCTAATTTCCTCTTAGGCTGAACATAAGCCGTTGTCCTACAGTTAGTCATTGTCCTGGTACAATTAGCTGCAGACTAATGAAGTGATAACGGTCTTAGAATTTCTTAGTGTACATGTTGAGAACGATCTCTTCTCTAATAGATCTGTAGCACTTTCAGAGCTTCACTGATTTAGAACTTTTAGGGGTTATCTAGTCCAAACCTCTCATTTTAGGGATAGGAAAAGTGAGGCCCAGAGTGTGGTCAGTAGATGGTAACCTAACCCTAACTATCAAAGTTCAAAGGAATAATGAAAGTATCATTGAGGCCAAAGCATAAAAAGTTGATTTTTGCACCCCCATCATAGTAAAACAGGTCCAGGAACATTTGCCCCCAATCAGGACTCGTGGAAACAGTTATGTCAAAAAGCTTAGGAGATTCTAGGAGATCTTTTCTATAAAGCCAAGAGAAAGGTATGAATAGGCAGCAGCTGAGTTAAATAAAGCATTCCAGTGCCCAGGCACCAAAGGATTACTAAGGGCTGACAACCTGAATGATTTACTTCAAACCACTGTTAAAAAAAAAAAAGAAAATGAATAATCACAAACTTGGCATTTGATGAACTTGAGTTTCTATCATGCTGAGCAACGATCAGTGTGAATGAATGAAACCTTGTAAAGTATAGACCCTTATTTTAGAAATCTACGTGCAATTTATTCTTGTTGCAATACTTTTTTCCCTTCTCTTTCATGAAACATGAGTGAGATAATAATGTGAAAAAGACCAAACTATTCTCATATGTTTAGTAACCCTTAGTCTCTGCCCTGGAAAGGGCCAACAGATGAAATCACTTAATTAAGGAAGAAAAGTGGTTTGTGTTTGGTGTCACCTTCTACCTGGTTGCATTCCTTTCTCCCCTTAGAGGTTAGTGAAACTGATAAACTGCCCTCTCCCTATGTCCAGAAAGGGCAGAGGCTCTACTGAGAGGCAGGGATTTGTTCCAGTAGACGTACACTTGTGTCTCTGGAGGGATCATTCAATTCAAAGAAAAGAAGCAACAAAGTAAAACAAACAACTTGTGCTGATTTTGGTCACTATGTGTGTCACTGTTTGTCTGCTGTAGACAGATGGATATGACTGAGGATGACTAATTTGTCTGAAAATGAAGAACAAAAATCCTGACTTTTTAAATATACAATTAGACTTGAAAATGACCAAAGGGAATACCTCAGAACTCTGAATCATTTTGGAGGCAGCTGCTTCTATTTCCTTTTTCTTCCAAAGAGGATTATTCAGAATTTTGTCTTGCAAAGCTCTGGCACACTGCTCCTGAGAAAGTTGTCTTTGAGTGTCGTTTCGCTCTTCTTCAACCTGGGGACAACCATTTCATAAAATTTTTAATCATATTCTTCCTGCAAAAGTCAGCAAAAATATTTTACTTTTAACTGGAATATGGAATCTGAAAAAGAATGGAAAATAGCTGAAAAATCTAAGAAAAGTAAGCATTGAAAATGAAAAGCAACAAAGAATGATAGCATTTCAGAGTTGTAAAGGAACCTCAACAACCATTCAGGTGAATCCATACCCATTACTAAGTACCTGACTCTTACTAGACTTTACTTAGTCTTGGCTTGAAGTCTTCATGGGGGGTCTGGGCGGGAAAGCCACCATCTCTCAAGGCAACTCATTCTACTTATGGATGATTCTATTTGCTGGCAATTTTTTCCTAACATTAATCCTAAAAATCTACATTTTTGCGACTTCTATGCATTGGTCTTAGTTCTGTCCCTTAGGGTGAAGCAGAGCAACCTTAATCCTTCTTCCACATGACTCTCCTTCAAAAACCTGAACACAGCAGCCAGAAATAAACAACTCAAGTATTGTGGAAACACAATCAGAAGAACACACGATTTAGCAGCTTCTACATTAAGGGATCAGAGGCCTTGTAATATGATATTCATGGAGGTCAAAGGAACTAGGATTACAATCAAGAATCACCTACCCAGCAAAACTGTGAGTATAATCCTTCAGGGGAAAAATAGACACTCAGGGAAATAGAGGACTTTCAAGCATTCTTGATGAAAAGACCAGAGTTGAATAGGAAATTTGACTTTCAAATACAAGACTCAAGAGAAGCATGAAAAGGTAAACAGGAAAAAGAAATCATAAAGGACTTATTAAAGTTGAACTGTTTACATTCCTACATGAAAAGATGATATTTGTAACTCATGAGACCTTTCTCAGTATTCAGGTAGTAGGAGTGAATATATATAGACAGAGGGCACAGGGTGAATTGAATATGAAGGGATGATATCTAAAAAATTAAGGGGTGAGAGAGGAATGCACAGGGAGAAGCAGAAACGGAGAAGTAAAATAGGGTAAATTATCTCACATAAAAGAGGGAAGAAAAAGCTTTTACCATAGAGGGGAAGAGGAGAGAGGGGAGAGGGAATGAATGAATCTTACTGTCATTGGATTTGGCTTTAGGAGGCAATAACATACACACTCAGTTGGGTATGGAAATCTATTTTACCCTGCAGGAAGATAAGGGGGGAAAAGGATAAGGGGAGATGATAGAAGGGAGGGCAGATTGAGGGAGGGGGTAATCAGAAGCAAACAGTTTTAAGAAGGGACAAGGTCAAAGGAAAGAATAGAATAAATGCGGGGTTGGAATAGGATTAAGGGAAATATAGTTAGTTTTTCACAACATGGCTATTATGGAAGTGTTTTGCATGACTACACATGTATAACCTTTATTGAGTTGCTTGCCTTCTCAATGAGGGTGAGTAGGCAGGGAGGAAGGGAGAGAATTTGATACCCAAATTTTTAAAAACACATGTTAAAAACTGTTTTTATGTGAAACTGGGAAATAAGATATATAGGCAATGGGGGACAGAAATCTATCCTGCCCTATGGTAAATAGAAGGAGAAGGGGATAAGAGGAGTGGGGAGATAGAAAGGAGGGAAGATTAGGGGAAGAGGAATGAAGATTTGGGGTGGGGAAGGGGAGAGATGGTGAGAAAATTTAGAACTTAAGATCTTGTGGAAGTGAATGTTGAAAACTAAAATAAATTAATTAATTTTTAAAAATTTTAAAAAAGACACAGACACAAAAAAGTGAATTATACCCTTCAAAACAAACATTGGATTACAGTACAAAAAATGCCTTCCTACCATTGTGCCAAATTGTGTACTTGCTCTATGTGAGGAAGATCAGTGGTTAATTTGATATTTATTCCAGTGACTTTCACAGGGCATTGCATATGCCTAATAAATGTTTGTTAAATTGAAAAAAAACCCCAACAACTTGAAGACAGTTGGAGTTTTCTTTTCTCAAGGAACATCTCCAGTTCCTTTAACTGATCCTCACATGTCATGGACTCAAGTCCCTTCCTCTTCCTGTTTGCCGTCCTGCTTACTAGCTACCAGAATTCTGTGGTAGCCACAAATGAACAAACTACTACAGGCAAGGTCTGATAAGGTCAGAGTACAGAAGTATTTTTACCTCCTTGGTTTTGGAAACTATACTTCTCTTAACGGGACTCAAAATTACATTAGCTTTTTTTTTTTTATTACAGCACCAACTCAAATTACACTTAGAGCTCACTATGATTCCTATATTTTTTTCCAGACAAAATGCTATCTTCCTCAACTTATACTTATAAACTAATTTTTTATCTAATTATAAAACTTTTCATTCATTCTTATTGAATTTCATCTTATTAGTAAGTTTAGTCCAATGCTGTGACCTATTAAGACTTTGCCTTTCTTCCATTTAGAAAGGCTTGGATAATTTTAATTGTATTAGTAAGAACAATAACGGGTTGCCAATAATGGGAGTGGACAGGTGAATACTGTGAAGTCTTTTTAATCCTAAAAAAGGACTATGGTATTTATGTCTAGTATAACTAAGCTGGGTTCAATCATTCATAAATATGTATTCATAAATACATAAAGAAAAATAACCCATAAATATTCTTAACAAAGAAAAGGTGGAAATATTGATTTTTAAATTCCAATTTACCTGTTTCAAAGTATTTCTTACTGTTCTCAGTTCAAGCTCCAGAGTTCTAAGAGTGAATTCAAGTTGCTGTTTTAGCTCCACTTCTTTACTATATTGTTCTTCTTTTCTTCTTAACTGTTCTCTAATTTTTTCAAACAGCATTTCTGCAGTCACTCGCTTTACTTCCTCTTGCTTCAGTGTAAACCTAGATTAAAATTGCCTTTTTTTTTTTAACATCATAGTTCAGTAGAAATAAGGAATGCACTTTAAGTATGTTCATCTGGACCTCTAAAGGAAAAGAACATTAATTTAGGGGGAACTGGATCCATATAGGGAACTCACCGTCAGGAAACTCCCAGTACTAATGTAGATGGGTCCCTGCTCTGCAATTTCAAGCCTTAGATTGTTGCCTGGGGCACTGCGGATTATGTAACTTGCTCAGGCTCACACAGTCAGGATGTGTCACAAATGAGACATGAAGCCATTTCTCTATCTAGGGCATTAAGCTTCTATCCAAAATGTATCATATAGTTCTTTGGATGCTTTGGCTTTTTGTATTCAATGGACAGAAATACCGTAAATTGGATACATATGTCCACTGACTTCCCGCCTTCCCTGCCTGACTTCTTGGCTTTAAATTTTTACTGACCTGCACTACAGAGGAGGTAAAGGAAACGACTTTTTCAAAATTTCTGAGTTTTGATACATCTGAATGCTGGTAAAAAATTTAGAGGAGGATATAGATAAAATTCTTGACTAAAATTAGGTGTGGGAGTGATTTCTACATTTCCCTCATCCATTTTTCCCATTATTATTGATTATTTAGAGTTGACTTTTACTTCATTTTGAAAAAAAAATCTAAGTAATTAAGGTAAAGTTTTGAAAATTCACTAAAAATGCATCTCTCATAGATATCCATAGAATAAAAAGGATTAAGTAGGCTCATTATTATATTATTATTTTAAAGATGTGTCATTTTTACTTTCCTAACCTCAAATCCTCTCTCACAATGCTTCAACATAAGAGAAATGCTTTCAAGTCTTTATTGAAACGCATGAGTTAGATACCTGAGGCTACTGAGTTCTCTGTCCCATTCTGCTTTTTGATGCTCTAAATGGGATTTCATTTCTCTTGATTCTGATAATTCTTCCTGTAGTCCAGTAATCTTGTTTTCTAAACTCTTAACTTTTCCAGTGAGTAGTGAACAATGTCCTTTTTTAAGTTCTACCAATCGTTCATATCTAAGAACTGCATCCTGAATTTTCAAAAGGCTAATAGGATCTGTACAGAGAAAAACACAAGTAAATAAAAATATGAGTATTTTTAAATCTGCAGGACAGTAGCAGTATTACTTAGAATTCTAACACTCTGGCAATGACAAAATAGTATCCAAATATGAATGCTAAGGAGAAACTGAAATATGTCAAAAGATTTTTTCACTTTCTTCTAGTCTCTCGATTATAGCTTCAGGGAAGACAGCTATAAACAATTCAAAATGACAGAAAAAAAAGTAAACATTCTGATGTGTACTCTGGGGGGGGACAAATAAGATTAATAAAATGGATTATACATTTAATATCTATAAACTGCAAGTATACTGAACTATTTTATAAGTATCATAAATACATTTTACCCTAAATAGTTATATGTAAACACTGCTTCTCCCTTAGGGACTTATAATGTAAATCTGTACGTAACATTCACACAGTAACATCCATGCTCATTTTTTCACTGGCCAAAAAAGAAGAAACTGAGGCACAGGGAAGTTACAGGACTTGTTGAGATTGACACAGGTGGCAGGTGTATAAGGCAGAATCTGAACCTAGGTATTCACGGCTTTATGTCCAGTACACTATTCAATATGCCAAGCTGAAAGAAGAATTATAAAAACTAGGCAGAACATTTGTGAGATTGTTGACATTTTTGGCCATTTAGTGAAAGATTTTAATATTTTGGCCATTCTTTCCATGAAAGAGATCACTGCCTGATATTTTTATGCATCTAGTCATATCAGTCTCTTCAATGGTCCTCTCTTGTCAACCAAGCAAAAAATTCATATGCCTTGTCCTAGCATTCAATATTAATAACTCACATGTAGTAATATAGCACATATAGGGTCACAAAAATCCTGTGAAGTAAGATATGTTATAGATGAAGAAAGTGAAGCTCCAAAATGCTCAGTTCTTCCCCCTATACTCCCATGATCTACATCTACTGAATTCATACCCATCCTTTAAAACTCAATTCAAAAGCTAGGCCCTCTACAAGTTTGTAACACCCTGTTTTTCCATATTTACCTCTTATTGCTATATCCCATCCAGTAAAACTCCATTTTCACTGTCATTTTTCTGCCTCCTTGCTGACAGTTTCCACTCTTGAAATGTTCACTTCATCCCCCATATTCACTCCCATGATCTACACCTACTGAATTCATACTCATCCTTTAAAAATCAACTCAAATAAATGGTAGCTTTACAAAGAAATTATTGCTTCTTGATAGTTAGTGTTCTATCCCACTTTGAACCTCACATAGCAATATGACTGTACTCCTCAAGTATATATATTTTTTAATACTAGAGCTATCTAGGTAGGCTACATCCCCCTACTAGATTGCACACTCAATGAGGACAATGATTATGTCTTATCTAAACTTCGTATATATGGCACACAGTAGGTACTTAATAACTCTTTTTTGAATTTAAACAAATAGAATTTCATCTTCTGTGGCAGAAAAATTCACCACCCTGAAGCCACCATAATCCTTTTCACCTTTAGGAAGGCCTGCCAGAGATCAGGCTCCAATGTCAGAGCCACCAAGAACCCAAAGTCAAATCTATTTTACTATGAGTCAATGAAATAGGACTTTGGGGTATCTTCTTGAATATACCCATATCTTTGGTTTCTGTTTAACACTGGCATTTTGTTAGGTAATTTAAGAATATTCTTACCTTTACAATCAACACTAAGTTGTTCAATCAATAACAAAACATTCTTATTGTTTAAGGGAGGGAAATCATAATCCTCTGTAGCTATGTCAGATGACTGACTGAGGTCATCAAGATCATCTGCATCCATCTGTACTTTGTCCTATAAAATAGATAATAGCATTGTAAAATAATAAAAATTTAAAAATAATAACAATGACTATCATTTATGCAGCACTTTAAGGTTTTCACAACACTTTATATACATTATCTCATACCATCCTCACAACCATTTTGTGTGATAAGCTTTACTTATAATTATTTTACCAATAAAGAAACAGGCTAAGAGAGGTTAGGTGACTTTTCCAGGGTAATACAGCTAGCTAGGAGCCCACGAACAGATTTAAACTCAGGTCTTCTTGACTCTATCCACTATGCCACCTAATTTCGTAGAAGCTGAATTATTTAGGAATCTTATGAAAATTATCATAAATAGTCATAATATCTTTTACAGATAATAGTCTTCATTTAATTTATGGGGAGAAATGAGGGGATATTCAGCAATATAATTAGTTTTCTAGCATTCACAATGAGCACATTTCGTTAGAAGATTATTTCTAAAAGTATCCATTTTCAGATTACAGAATTATACTTCATAATGCAAAAAAGGAGTCTTATCTGCTCACTGAAACATGCATTATTTTCTAAATCAGTTTAAAATTCATTTAAAAGTAAACTAAGTTCTGAAAATCTTCCAATAAAAATAGCATGAAGGGCACTTTTACTCAAATAAAATATCAGAAATTTGAATGTCATTTTTACATACCTGTTCCTGGTCACTTTTATCAAAACTTTCTTGGCCTTCCTCTGATGATCCTTTAAATTCCAATTCTTGTGTTAATTCAATATTGATATTTAAGTAACAATTCATATTATTTAGAATTACTTTTTATATGATTGAAATCCCCCCCCCCCATTAACAGTAATGGCAGCTATTACAGCTATAATTTATCTATTTTAAAATAAGGTATAAAATGTAATACATTTCAGTTTTACTAATTATGCATTTAGCTTACTATTTTGTAATTTCAATCTACTGCTACATTTTAAGTTTCTTGTGAGATGCTCATTACATACCAAATCACAGGAAGTTGTGAAGAATGATTTATATATTTAATCAAGATGAGACTGTTACATTTGAAAATTAAGGGTAAACAGAGAGCAAATGGTCCGTGTGTGATCAATTTATTAGTTAGGCTAGCAGTAACCAATAAATTTGGTAAGGATTTCTAGCCTTCATAGGGTTTGGGGAAGTGCAAGAGAACAAAGAGTTGGGTAGGTAGGGAAAACAATGAGATAGGTTATAGAGTAGAGAGCATCATGGAGATGAGGACAACATGACTGACTGGAAATTGGGAATGAGCAGTTAGCAACAATTCCTTCCTTCTCTCTTCTGACTGAGAAATCTTCATTGCTTGAGTCCACCTGCAATGTTATAAAGAGTGGACCAGAATTCTTTGGATAACAAGCCAGACATCTTTGAAGGACAGTTGGAGTATATAAAGATACTAGACCACAGTCCAAGTGTTCACATGTCTCCTCCAAGGGTAACACATTTTCTTCTCACAAGAATAGTAAAATCATTAACAACAGAACTGGATTTCTAAATTTAACTTATTACAAGACAGATGAACTTTTGAACTAAGTTCAGAGACACAGAATCATGACTTAGGCAGTGACAAGACAAAATCAATTTAAAAAAAGACAGAATCAATCTGATTATTTCAAAGCATAGAGAGAACAAAACCTTGATGTCATGTTGCATAGGGGAATAAAAGTACATGAGATCTGTATAATTAATTATAAGCTACTCTGATTAAGCCAAGAAAATAAGAAAATAAGATATGCTTATAATAACTCCAGCAGGTAATTTGAAGTTCAATGTAAATCTTTTAGTTACCTCAGAGCTAGATAGAGTATGATAACATGGAGAGAAATTAACAGAGATTAACATAACTTCTAAAGATTAGGAAGATATAACTGTATATGTCACAGTCAAAAAAAATCTATTGAAACAAAACCAACATAAACAGTCAAACCTGAATATGACAAAATTATCTTAATTTATGTAACTTCAAAAATAGTATTAAAAAGACATTCCTTGGTATGGTAATTGCATTCCATTCAAACCAATGTCATGGAAACAATTACCAGGAAGCATCAACTAACAAGGTAATTTAATACTTGGGGAAAGTTAACTCGACTATAGCTTCAGGGAACAGAGCTATAAATAATTCAAAATTACAGAAAAAAGAAAAATCATTCATATATGGACTTTATATGTGAATATAAACTTATATAAGCCTAATGGTTTTAGGACTGGAAACACTTAAAAAAAATTAAGTAGTAAACCAGCCGATTAGACAGGAGAAGACTAATTTAACATATGTTACACTGATTAGAGGAGAAAAGCAAAATACCTGTTAAAAAGACACCTGCTAAATTCTAGGCTGCATGAGAGGAGTAAAAACAAGCAGTGAATTCTGTCATCACATGACTTTATCATTTATTTTGCTTACCTATACTAATAAAAATTGGAATGTAACAAAGAGAGCAAATGATCTACCTATGGAAAATTCAGAATGTTATTTCTGCAAGCTTCTTCATTACCTTCTTTACCTTCCTCTTCTTTCAGAGAGGGCTGTGGTTCACACTCCTTCTGAGGCACTGGTTTTTCTTCTAGAATCACATCGCTAAACCCAGTCTCAGGGCCATTTCCAGCTCTAGCTGCTTCATCTTCTTTTAAAGGAATCTTTCCAAATTCTGTAGATTCTGACTGATTTTTGATCAGTGGCAGTGAGGGGCAAGGATAATTCCCATTAAAATTCAAATCCTTGGAACTTCTGTAACTTTCACTTTTCTGAGAAGTACTGGGAGAATCCCAATCAGAAGCATCTGAAAAGGAAATATTGGAGTTAAATACTACAACAGTTTTATCTACTTGACACATTATTTAATTTTTTCACAGGATGTCACTCAAATTACCACCTAGCTTTATGATTTTATTTTGTTTATTAATGCATTTGGTATTTTATCTCTTCTGTAACATGAGGAAAAAGAAAAAAAAAACTTTTCTTTCTTTTATTCAGCCTATCTTCTTTTTCTAGGATTACTAGCTCTTATTTCCTCCCAAAATCCATCTCAGTGTATATTCCCAAAGAACTTATTAGCAAGACCCTTGGGAAAAGGCTTTTCTTCTGTAATAACCTTTTAAAAATAACATTCACATTTGACTTTTCAAATTATTTAGGATTAGGAAATAGATTCTGAAACTGTGATTTTTAACCTGTGATTTATTTATAGAGAACTCTTAGGTGAGGAAACTACCTCTAATAATGTACACTGGTACCTTCTCTGCAACTTACAGTCTTAGAGAATTGCCTAGGGCACTTAGAGGTTAAATGACTTGCCCAAGGTCACCTAACCAGTACGTGTCAGAGATGAGACTTGAAACTAAGTCTTTTTGGCTAATTACACAGAAAATATTTACAATTAGGATCCCTTCAGTGACTGTATTTAAAAAAAAAAAGAACTCTTATTTATTCTAAGCATGGTTGCATTGTTTTTTTTTTTCCCAAATGTGAACTACTTTAATTTAATTAGAAGATAGCTTTTTTTAGACTTAGATTCTTAAAATCTAGCCACTGCTTGGATTCTTATAATCTAGCCATGGGCTCAGATTCTTATAATCTAGACAACAGCTCACTAACATTCAGATTCCTTAAGAGTCTGCCCAATATTATGGATGTTCTAATAAACCTTGTCTTTGGCTGAAAGAAGGCTTGAGTCAATTCTTTCGGGTAGGACCTGCGTGTTGTGATTTTGAGGGCCCAACATCCCAGCACTCCTAAACCTCAACATTTTGGTGGCCCGTATGGGAAAACTGCCTAACCCCAAGTTCTTCTCCAGCCAAGACCGGAAGGTATGTAAGCCCCCATGCCCTCCTTTCTTGATCTGCAGTTGGGGTAGCTCTCCAAGCAACAAGGTTTGGAGGTGCTTTTCAGGCAGACAGTTACAAGGCTGTCTCGCACTCAGTCTGATGTTCTCAGACTCTCAGTCCGGTGGGTCAGTTTGAGGCCATCGATCTGGGCACACCTTCTGCAGCTTAGAGGACAAGGATGGGCACCCTAACTGGAAGCATATGCCCAATTCTGTCAATTTTCTTGGCGGTAAGGAATTGGGGAAAACTGCAGTTGTCTTTTGATTCCCTGAGGCTTACTTTCTCCCTTTCCTCTACACTCATGAATCCTCCTGTACGGAAGTTACAGGAAAAGTTAGAACAGCTAAAAATATCTTGGGAGATTCTGGAGGTTTTATGATTGATCGTTAAGGAGTTTTGAAACTCTTCCTTACAACCCTGGTCACTCCTTTCTCCCTCTCCCTTCCCTTGAGTCAAGAGGGTATCTGTTAACCCCTCTTATAAGAGAAGAGAGTTTCACCCTTTATCCCTCACCTTTGATTTTGCCCTCCCTGACCTGGGAAAGGAAGAAGGGAGGAGGGGCAGCAGCTATAGCATGGGCCCCTCTGGCAATGGCCTTGGGTCCTAGGGCAACCTTTGCCTGGAATCATCACCCAGGTTCAGCACATCCTGCTCAAGGTAATGAAGCTAGCCTCCAAACTTGGGTAAGCATGCACTTTTAAATTTGTAGTTTTAATTGTTAATGAGATATTGATTCTTTGTGTAAAGTAATCTGGAAATGCATTTAACAAAATTGAAATCACCTGACTGGTAATGGGTTTGTTTCAAGTTTCAAATTGGTGAATTTTTTCTATCACTTATGTCAAGCAACTTTTCATAATTTGGTTACCGCTAAAATAATTTGGCTATTGTTGGTCATTGTTTTAATGTGTAAACTTGCCAAAAAGCTTATTTGGGTTTTGCTAAGAATTTACAATCATACAGAAATAATCTCTAACAATTGGCTTTTTATACCAGAACAAATTTAAGCTTGAGATGTAAATTGTAAAAAAGTTTTTCCTAAACTGGGATTAATGAAACTTGCTGTTTGAGGTAAAAGCTCATAGGATTTTATTTTGAGTTGTCTAATGGGTCATAATAGTCCATCAATAAATCAATAATCCACCATCTGAGACATGCCACAAGCTACTCAGAGAGAAAGTGATACTGGGGAGAAATCAGCATTGGGAAAAGCTGAGAGGACAATTTTAGCCTCAATCAAAGATGGGATCCTCCTGGCTCAGTTTCCCCATTTTGTTCCTTTGAAAAGGAATGTTACCCACCTGGCTATTCCTGAGTCTGGGTATGAGGTGGATTTAATACTGTATGGTTGGAAAACTGAATTTTCTGAATCCAAACAGAGCTAAGGATGTTTCATCCTCTCATATTTGGGCCCTAAATCTAGCCCCTGCTTTATATCTGAGTCCTGCAGTCTTTTCTGTCAGATTTGTATCTTCCAGACACAAATTCACCTATAGTTGGCAGCAAACAGTGGGTACCAGCCAATGTCCCCCCATCATTCCCTGGATGTAGCCTGTGCTTGGCTCCAGTCAACCTCTTTAGAACCCTGTCGAGGCAGAGACAGCTCTTCGCCCCTTGCCAGCAAGAAGCAGTTTCAGAAGCCAAGACTTTCACCCGTTACCCCAAAAGAATTTATGTCCCATTTGTTTGAGGGGGGAACGATGAGGATGGCACCTAGACCCCAAAAAGGAAAAACCCTTTCCCACATGGCCAAATCTCTAGACTTCTCCTGAGGCTATAATTCCATCAATTGGCCTTTCACTGTGGCTATACCCAATCTCCCTTACCTCCCTATGGCCCCAGGCCACTTCCCACCTTTAATCCTATCTAGGCTCCATTCTCCCTTGGCCAAGTGGTCCAGGTCCCTGAGGTTCTATTACCTCATAGACTACTTGGCCACTCCTAGATCCCTACCACAGTCTTTCTGTGTATAAGGTCCATTTTATCTCCATTAAGGTGCTTGGATTCTTAAAATCAAGCCACTGCTCGGACTCTTAAAATAGAGCCACTGCTTGGATTCTTAAAATCTAGGCAATAGCTTACTAATGTTCAGGCTCCTTAAGAGTCTGCCCAATATGAAGGATGTTCTAATAAACCTTGTCTTTGGCTGAAAGAAGGCTTGGGTCGAATTCTTTCAGGCAGGATGCACATGTTGTTAATTTGGGGTCCCGGCACCTCTCAACCTCTAAACCTCAACAGATCCACCAGAAATAGTTCAAGGTGGAGGAGAGGAGGGCCTAGACTAGGACAGTGGCAATGCACGAGGAAAGAAGCGGGTGTATTTGAGAGATGTTAAAAAGGTGAAATCTTGAAAATACAATCATTAGATATTCAGAGTGTGTGAGAGAAGAATTGAGGATGAAAGGTTGCAGCTCTGGGTGACTGGAAGGATGATGGTCAAAAACAGGGGAGTTATTGGGAGGAAAGGCTTTAAAAAGAAAGTCCTGCTTTGGAAATATTGAGTTATGTTGAAAATGTTCATGTGATAGCTAGCGATAAGAGATTTGAAGCTTAGAGAGTGACACTATTCTATATCAAGAGATGGAAGTAATGTACATAAGCTTTGATAGTTGAATACATGAGAACACAGATCACTAAAAGAAGGGTGGAAAGAGAGCAGACCAGAAACTATGACAGAGGAAGGGGTGAAGATACAAATTGAGAAGGAACAGTAAGACTGGAAGGAGAATCAATAGGGTCACAAATAACACAGGAAGAAGGGATTATGAGAACAAGGGGGTAGTTAACAGTGCAAAATGTTTTAAAGAGGTCAAAAAAGATGATGTCTGAAAAAAGCATGTCCTGTTTGGCAAGTGGACCATTGGTCAGACAGAGTAGTTTTAACTAAATGTAGAAGTAGTTACTAGCTTAAAAGAAGTTGGGAAGTAAGCTGAGGACTTGGACATGGTGAATGCGTAACCAGTAAGTGTTGCTGGATTTTTCTCAAGAGAGGGAGAGAGGTCCTGAGATCACAGTGATCATTGAGGATTGGTTTGCTTAGTTAAAAGGGAAAAGAAATAAAATCCTCGCTTCCAAAAATTCTACCTTTTAGGAGAGTTATGAAGTTACTAAGAGAAATGAAAAATCACTATCAGCTCATTTCACCCTCAGGTGACAATTAAACCACATTGTTAGAAGGGTAGTTTCAGTTATTTATACTCTGAGCTGAAATCCCATAGCTTGCACCACCCACATAGTTGCCAATGAATAAGCACAAACACCTAGAAAACAATTGGAATTTACCTCATCTTTTACCTAAAGAAGACAGATTTAATAATACTACTAAAACAGTAGAGAGGGGCTTAAAGGGGAATTCTAAAACTTAAATCTTCATCTGAAAGGTTAGAGCTGGGATAGAGGGGAAGAGATAAATGGTTGCCTTCTCAGAGAGGGAGAGTTCAGTTCATTCACAGAAATATTCCATTATGATGAGAAGCCATAATCAGCATGTTCATTAGAGCCAAGAATAGTCTCTATTTTTCCATCACCTTCTTGGGTACCAGAGAAGGGTTTACTCTTGTTGTTCACCTGCTTCGCTACTTTGTCCTTCCTTCTGCCTCCAGATACAGGTATATCTTTTTATTGTACTTCACAGATACTGCATTTTTTAAAAATTGAAAGTTTATGACAACCCTGCTTCGAGCAAGTCTATGAACACCATTTTTTTTTCAACAATACATGCTTATATTGTGTCTTGTGTCACTTTTTGGTAATTCTTATAATATTTCAAACTTTTTCATTATTATTCTATGTTATGGGGACCTGTGATCAGTGATCTTGGTATTACTAGTGTACCTTGAACTTTGCCCATATAAGATGGTGAACTTAACTGACAAATATTATACATCTTCTGACTGCTCCACAGACAGGCCATTCCTCATCTCTCACCCTCTCCTCTAGCCTTCCTATTCCCTGAGATACAACAATATTGAAATTAGGCCAATTAATAACCATACAATGGCCTCTAAGTGTTCAAGTGAAAGGAAGAGTCAATTGATGAGGAAAACTTCATTGTTATCTTTTTTTTAAAATTGCCACAGCCCCCCCATTTTTCCCAGCCCCCAATCTTCAGCAACCATAGCCCTGATCAGTCAGCATCCATCAACACAGAGGAAGACTCCCTACCAGGAAAAAGATTACAACTCACTGAAAGCTCAAATAATGATAAAGAAGAACCCAGGCATGCTGAAGGGAATGGGGAATGAATCTTTAGAGACAGAGATAACTGTGGGAGCAACTGATGGAAGATATACAAAGGTTTGGAACCAGGCCCAAACACAGAGCTTGACTTTGGTGAAAAGAAGGGCTGTTAGATACAGGAGCAAAAAAGGAGAGAATAAGGAATAATCTAAAAGAATTTTGAGAAGTTGAATCTGGAATAAAAGAGAATAAGGTTGGGATCAATCAAGAATATTCTAGTTAGATTTCTGTCATCTGATTCTAATGAATGTATCTAAACTTATTACAGGATAGATGATCTCATTTCATGTAAAAAACAAAAAAAAGAATAACTTCTTGAAGATTAATCTTTTAACTTTCAATATGTATTACAAATTTAGCATGAAAATGACAGCTTATAGAGTGTATGTATTCCCTAATAAAATAAGACAAGACTACTTTTATACTAGCTTCAAAAAGTGCAAATTAATGACAATGATGTATGAAAGGGAAAAACATCAGCTTATTCAACAAACATTTAATTTTCTGGGTGTTTAAAGTTTCTCCCATCCTTCACTTAATCACAGCATCTCTTAAAGTTATTGTCCAATATCTCACCTCCTTTTCAGCTCTCTAATTACTAGAGTTATTTATATTCACTCCTCAAACCCTTTTATCTGGCTTTGGGCTTCTACTGGCTTCTACTGAAACTGCTTGCTCCAAGGTTAGCAATTGGATCCTAACTGCCAAATCTGATGGCCTTTTTTCTGAGTCTTCATCTCTTGACATTACGAAGCCTCAGACACTGTTGAAGTTCCTTGCCTCACAGATAATCTCTTCTGATAATCTTTGTTGGTGATCTGATCCACTCTCACGATTTCCCTGGGAAGTGGTCAGAACAGGTAACACCAGACTATTTTCATATTTTGATAGGGTTACTAGACTGACCGACCAGAGGATTATTGCCATTATAGTTTACCTAAATTTCAGCAAAGCATTTAACAAATTCCCTCACGTCATCTTTGTGGACAAAATGGCAAATGCAAGTAAAAACACAAGGCAGAAGAAGTATGGATAGATAATGTTTGTCAGAATTTGTTGGACTATATGGCTCAATATGAGTCAATATAGTAGCCATAAGAACTAGAGCAATTTTAAATTTAATTAAAAGAGATATAATATCCAGAGGAAGGGAGATATTAGTCTGGCTGATCTTGGTCAGATCACACCTGAATTCTGTCCTTAGTTTTGGACACCACATTTTAGGACTGGCTTCTGGACTTCTCAGCCTGCAAGTCCTCCTGTACCTTCAAATTAAACATGATCATGCCTGAATTCATTATTTCCTTTTCCTCCTCTCTGAAGTCATCAGTCCTTTAATATTTTTTATCTTTGTTAAATACAGGCCATCTTCACAGTCATCTGGTTTTATATCGTTGACCCTTCTCTCATCCAAATATATATGTATGTGTATATAGACACACACATTTCCAAAAGTTGCTATATCCTATTGATTCTACCTCCATAAAATTTGTTATCTTCTCCCTTTTCTTCATTCCCAAACTATCCTCCTACTTCACAACCTCATCACCTGGATTTTTGCAATCCATTATTGGTCTTCTTATCTCTGGTTCTTACCTTCTCTGGTCCATTCTACACAAAGCTATTAAGTCATTTTCTGAATGCACTTAACTAGGCCATTCTCTTGCCCTATTGCTACAGTTCAGTGGATATCACAGCTATGAAACCTTCCTTCCACAACTATTACCTTTTTTCATGCTCTCTCCCCCCTCAATTTTCCTAGAGCACTTTTATCTCTCTCCCTTACCTCCTTTACTCCAGACCCTGTAACATAGTTTATATGTTGTATGCCTTCATAGAAAGTAAATTCCTTGAAGCAAAGAACTGTTTGTTTTTATCTTTGTGTCCTACAGTACAACAGTGGGCACTTGATGTACACATGATACATAATAGTTATGTGCCTTCATGCAATATACAAAAATGCCAGAAAGTATAAAAATACAACTTGAAATATGGTGTTCAAAACTCAAAAGTAAAAACCTGAAGACTACAGATATCATCTTCTATTAGATGTGATTTTTAAAAATTAACTTATAACCATATTTGTAAAGAAGGAGCAAAAAGGAAAATACCATCCATGTCATCTGCATCATCTAAATCAAATTCTTCCATTAAATCTGTAATACAAGTGGGGAGGAAGGGAAGAAAAAAGAAAAATGAATATTGAAAATTCTTTAAAATAAAATTATTTTCTTCCTAAATTATGGAATTATGACACTTACATGACTTTTGTTTTCCCTTAACTCCTTTTTCTGATTCTTGGTTTGTGAAAGAATCTTGCATTTCAATAGTGGGTTGAAGGGGCTATGAAACAAGATAATTAAATAACAAGATGGTTATAGTCAAAGTTTTCAACAAATATTGGATAATAAATTAAAAGTATCAATGTTATTACCTTCAAATTAGGATGTCTCTCAAGATAATCTGAAAAAAGAATAAAAGTTTTATCATTAACTGTATTTTAACAGTGTAATTCAATCACAACTTCATGCAAAATGAAAATGCTTGTTAGATCCCATTAAAGGATTTAAAAAATGAATGTTTTAATTTTGTATAATTCTTATTATAGCACTTGCATGACAGTAATTGGAATCAATTATTAGTACCTGAAATAAAACAAAAATACTGTGTTGGCACAACATGCAATTTACATTTCAAATACATAGATGTCAAGGGACTCAAATACATATATGTACATATACCAATATTTAAGCATGCTCATCAATGACACACATAAAGGTTATCCTTTTTAAAAGATTCAAGTCTCACAGGGAATTAATTAAAAAGATGATACTCTAATGCAGCAGCATGTCTTCCAGGCAATGAGAGTGATTAATGCAATTATACTACAAGTGTTCATACTGTGGGTGATTCCTTAATTGGTTATATAATTTGCAAAATCGGGCAATATGTACACAGTAAAGATAAAACAGAATTTAAAGCAATCTATAAACCATATTTTTATCACAGAACTAAAGGGCTAGAAATAAATGTTCTGAATACATACACATAGATGCACACTTGTAGAATAATGGTTAATAATACATTTTCATTTCTTTCCATACCCACGTTGCCTACTGGCATGCCTATACTTCTCATATCCATTAGTTTATTCATCTTAAAGCTTCTTGATCCATTCATGAAAGAAGGTATATAAAATACATCTAAGAAATGATGTACAAAAACTTTCAATTTTGAGAGTTATTTTAAAACAGCAAAATTGTTTTAATCATCTCAATCACAAATTCAACGTTATTAATATATAAAAACTTTTCAACATATATAATTAATGGAAAACAAAGCTTTTTACATATTTACAATAAATCTCAGAAAATAAAATTTGAAGTTCTGAAAGCATTGTATATTTTACAATATTAAATTAGTTTACTATACATCAGTCCAAAAAAGGCTTAAGAAATTGTTTACTATATTAAATTATAATATTAGGTTTACTATAAGTCAGTCCACAAAAGTATTAAGAAACTGAAAGAAGTTTTAAAATAAATACTCCCAAAACAATACTAAGCACATTATTAACCCTATATGCATCAGTAATATAAGCGTTATAACTAACTCCTGTATAAATGTTTTTACTCACTCACCTGGGCTAAAAAAGACATTAATTATACCTCTGGACAGAGAAAAGATAGACAAATTGCCTAATTGTCTCTAAGTATAGCTTTGTTCTTCTTCTCTCACACATGGAAGAAGAAAACACTCTAATTCCTATAAACAGCTGGAACACATGTGATTAATATCAAAGAGAGAGGGATGGCCCATGTGCTAGAAGTTAGCAATGATTGTCCTTATGTGTGTATTCTGTGTGGGCATCATTGAAAGTCTGGTAATAAGGTGATTTTTTTCTTTTTACCTCAGAAATTAATGAAGAAGACTGCATATAACTCAGACAAGGTGGGGAGGTGAAGTCAGCCCCAATCTATCTCAGTTTCCAAGGCATCTAAGACTAGAGTCTAGACCAGTGAACTCATGGGTTCTTGGGGGTAAATGAACATTTACATATAATTCTTTTTGTTACTATTTTACATTTGTTCTATGTTTCCCTTTATGAAAAGTTCAGAAACAACAATGACTGTTGTGTCTAAGTTTAGTAAACCTTGGGATGGATTATAGTGTCATGTAGTAGTAGGTGCTCTGTAAAATTAGTTGATGACGTTTATAATAAATATACTTTTAAAAGAAACCAACAAATCAATAAATTGGGAAATATTGGGAAATTACTAGGAAAAGCCAGGAAAGCTTCATGGAGTTTAGACCTCAGAAAGTTTCTGAAGGAAGAGAGAGATTTCAACAGATGGCCTAAACAGTTACATGGAAGTAGCACAGGGCAGGACAATATACAGAATACGTAATAGAACAGTTTGGCTGAAAAAGAGAGTGAAGAAGAGCAGTATGAATTAAGGCTGATTAGAGCCCTATTGTTAAGGCCCTTGGAAGCCAGCACTCCATCCCCTAAATGTTGCTGGCAAGTGATTTTTTTCTGCCAACCTATTGGAAATTTTTTTAACTTTGTATTTTATCCTATGGCCACCTCATTTTAACATCCTTGGACTATATAACTGGATGAAAACATTCAGGAAAGTAAGCTAAAAGTTGCCAAGAATGAAGAAAGCAAAAAGCATAATTATTCTTGAATAAATTAATCTGGGGAGGGGAGACACGTATATGTGTAAAAGCAAGTAATAAGAACACCCAGGGCTTAGATTCTTAAAATCTAGCCACTGCTCGGATTCTTATAATCTAGCCATGGGCTCAGAGTCTTATTATCTAGCCAATAGCTCACTAACATTCAGACTCCTTAAGAGTCTGTCCAATATTATGGATGTTCTAATAAACCTTGTCTTTGGCTGAAAGAAGGCTTAGGTTGAATTCTTTCAGGCAGGACCCACTTGTGATTTTGGGGCCCCAGCACCCCTAAATCTCAACATTTTGGTGGGCCGTATGGAGAAACTGCCTAATCCCAAGTTCTTCTCCAGCAGAGACTGGAAGGTATGTAAGCCCCCACACCCTCCTTTCTTGCTCTGCAGTTGGGGTTGCTCTCAAGCAATAAGGCTTGGAGGTGCTTTTCAGGCAGACAGTTATGAAGCTGTCTCACACTCAACCTGATGCTCTCAGGCTCTCACTTCACTGGGATTCTGGAGGTTTTATGATTTGTCATTAAGGAGTTTTGAAACCTCTCCTTACAACCCTGGTCACTCCTTTCTCCCTGTCCTTTTCCTTGAGTCAAGAGGGTATCTGTTAATCCCTCTCATAAGAGAAGAGAGTTTCACCTTTTCCCCCTCACCTTTGCTTTTACCCTCTCCCACCTGGGAAAGGAAGGAGGGAGGAGGAGCAGCAGCTACAGTATGGGCCCCCCTGGCAATGGCCTTGGGTCCTAGGGTAACCCTTGCCTGGAAGCATCACCCAGGTTCAGCATATCCTGCTCAAGGTAAAGAAGCTAGTCTCCGAACTTGGCTAAACATGCTCTTTTACATTTGTAGTTTTAACTGTTAATGATGAGATGTTGATTCTCTGTGTAAAGTAATTTGGAAATGCATTTAACAAAAGTGAAATCACCTGACTGGTAATGGGTTTGTTTCAAGTTTCAGATTGATGAACTTTTTGTATCAGTTACGTCAAGCAACTTTTCATAATTTGGTTACTGCTAAAATAATTTGACAATTGTTGGTTACTGTTTTAATGTGTAAACTAGCCAAAAAGCTTGTTTAGGTTATAGCTTGCTGAGAATTTGCAAGTGTATAGAAATCTCTAATGATTAGCTTTTTATACCAGGACAAATTTAAGTTTGAGATGTAAATCGTGGAAAAGTTTTTCCTAAGCTATGATTAGTGAAACTTGCTATGTGAAGTAAAAGTTCATATGATTTCATTTTGAGTTGTCTGATGGATCACAATAATCCATGGATAATCAATAATCCATCATCTGAGAGAAATGCCACAAGCTACTCAGAGAATATGATACTGGTGGGAAATCAGCATTGGGAAAAGCTGAGAGGACAATTTTAGCCTCAGTGTAAGATGGGATCTTCTTGGCTCAGTTTCCCTGTTATGTTCCTTTGAAAAGGAATGTTACCCACCTCGCTATTCCTGAGTCTGGCTATGACGTAGATTTGAGACTGCATGGTTGGAAAACTGAATTATCTGAATCCAAACATAGCTAAGGATGTTTTATCTTGTCATATCTGGGCCCTACAGTCTTTTCTGTCAGATTTGTGTCTTCCATACGACAGGCATTCACCTACAATTGATAGCAAACAGCGGATGCCAGCCAATGTCCCCCCATCATTCCCTGGATGTAGCCTGTGCGTGGTTCCAGTCAACCTCTTTAGAACCCCATCGAGGCAGAGACAGCTCTTCACCCCTTGCCAGCAAGAAGCAGTTTCAGAAGCCAAGACTTTCACCCGTTACCCCAAAAGAATTTAGGTCCCATTTGTTTGAGGGGGGAACGATGAGGATGGCATCTAGGAAAATCCCTGGACTTTCCCACATGGCCAAAACTCTGGAGTTAGCCTGAGGCTAAAATCCTATCAACTGGCCTTATGTTACTGCTTACACCCAACCTCCCAAATCTCTCCTACCCTTAACCTAGCCTAGCCCTCCATTGTCTTACCTCCTGGTCCCAGGCTTCCTCCCACCCTTAATCCTATCTAGGCTCCATTCTCCCTTGGCCAACTGGTCCAGGTTCCTGGAGTTCTACTGCCTCATAGACTACTTGGCCACTCCTAGATCCCTCCCATAGTCTTTGGGTATATAAGGTCCATCTTGTCTCCATTAAGATGCTTAGATTCTTAAAATCTAGCCAATAGCTCACTAACATTCGGACTCCTTCAGAGTCTGCCCAGTATGATGGATGTTCTAATAAATCTTGTCTTTGATTGAAAGAAAAAAGAACATCCAGTATATATGGAGGCCCTCAGACCCTCCCTAGCAATTTAGGAAAGGAAATTTGGTTGCTTTTTCATCCTGGTTCCAATGCAGCCATCTTCTATTATGTATGTTTCGGAGTAAATAGATAGTTAAGATTTTTAAAAATGAAGTTTATAACACATTTTCTTCATTTTGCATTTTATCTGATAGACATGAAATAAATAACTGAAGGTTTCAGAGCCAGGAGATGAGAGACCAGTGAAGTTTGAGAGGCAGAGTAGATGGAGAGATGGCCCTAGAATGAGGAAGGCCTGAGCTCGAGTCCCACCTCTGATTTTGATATGGCTGTGTGACTATTAACAAATCACTTAACCTTTCAGTACTCTAGTCAACTCTCTGAGATCCTAAATTTCAGAGAAGGTGCTAACCTGCACTAGTAGAGGGAGTTATCTCATAACAATGGAATTATAGGTCTTGACTCTATCACCAAAAAATTAGGTGATATGGGCTTGTATCACAGGGAAGATATCTGTATAACCAACTAATTAAACTGAAATGGAGCTCATTCTGTTTTGTAAAACAAACCACCATGCAAACGCTGGTCGATTATTAATAGAGACAATTATTAGAGCCAATCTGTCACTCCATATCAAACATATGTATTTCTATTCTCTCTCTTTCCATTGTACTCTTCCATTCTCCTTCTAATACCTCTCCTTCCCTACTTTCTATTATATTCCTTTTTCTGACCTCTTTTTCTGATTTTGCTCAGGCAAGCCTTCAGTGATACTGCTTAGTCCTGTTAGTGGCACTAAGACTTTGCCCACCTTTTCTTCTACATATTTGATGATAAGAGTCACTTCCCTGCCACCTCCTCCCCAATACCACTTTTATTTTTTTTCAAACAAACCTAACTATATAACAAATCTAACTGTACAATCTTACCTTCATGTTGTCTCATTGAAATATTGTCTTTTAAGGTTTGATTTGTGGCTGCAGGTACGTGCCTGGCAGATCCTTTGGAGAGACTTTCAGTGGAACACTTATCAAATGAAAAGATCAACAACACAGTTAGCAAGCTCACTGTAGAAAGCAGTCCTGAATGCTTTCTGCTGGTAAAATGTGAACTTTCCACTGAGAGAGAAATGACAGTTCTACAGAAAATAAAATTTTTTATAAAACATTTTGTTCAAAAGAAAACATCACACTTACACCTTTCAAATTTATTCTTCTTTCTTTTGTCTATAGATGAGATAACACTGGTAAATGTAGTGCTGTAGGCTGGAGTATACTTTTTTTATACAGATATGGCTTACTTGTAAGTAATGATAAAATTCCAAGTCAGGATATTATTGCTATGATAGTTATAACAAAATTTTATAGTACATTTAAAATACTGTTTTTCAAATGCTAACAATGTGGGAAAAGAAAATAATATTTGGGGTCTAATGTACAGTGTACAATCATCTTAGAAAAGGTGGCAGAGTCAATAGAGCCCTGGGCTTGAAGTCAGGAAGATTCATTTTATAAGTTCAAATCTGGTGTCAGACACTAGCTGTGTGATCCTGTTTGCCTCAGCTTCTTTATCTGTAAAATGAGCTGGAGAAGGAAGTGGCAAACCGTTCTAGTACCTTTGCCAAGAAAACCCCAAATGGAGTCAGACATGACTGAAATTACTAGACAACAAAGCCCTGCACAGTTCAAACTGATCTAGGTTTATATTACATATGCACACAGGTATACATATACGCACATATGTACATATGCACACACATATGTATATGTACGTGTGTGTGTGTGTGTGTGTGTGTGTGTATACACACATATGACAGAATGGCTGAAAATTTTAGCTTAATCATACTAACCGTATCTATTGTACTGAAAAATTCATCGTTGATAGTGGAGTATTCAATATAATTCCCACCTTCTCTAGAGGTCTCCTACACTTGGATAATATATTTTTTTCTTTTCATTTAATTTCCTGGCCTCATGCTTGATGTCTAATACTGGTCTCCAAACCTCTTGTGAATCATGATTTTTTTGTCTCTCTGTTACCTGGTCTCCACTCTACGTTTAACTCCACAGTCTCCGCTCAATATTCTACATACACTAAAAAGCATAAGCATACTCACTGCCCTTTTCTTGTCTTCACACTTCATGCTTCTGCCTTTGATTATTTCCAATATAAAACTGTGAGTTAATCCCTTCAACTCTGCCTATTTCAATTTCAAGGGATATTCTTGTGTGACCCAGATTTCTGAACTCCTTTTGCTATAAGACATGGAAAATCATCTGACATTACTCTCATATTCCTAAAATTTTAGCAATCTATGAGATAGCTCCATTTAAACGTTTCCTGAGAACTAACACATTAAAGAGTTGCCTTAGCCTGTCATCATGTAAGCCTTCCCAAACCTTTCTAACTTCCTTGTCTCTATTAGTGATATCTATGTTTTCCCCAGTCCTCAGTCTTAAAAACTTAGTTATCTCCTTCTCTCTGTAGCCTAGTAATTGCTATATACTGCTGCATCTTTCTCTAAAATAAACAAGTTATTATTTAATCTTTCCTATTTCCACCATTAGTCTAGTTTATTTCAGCACTTTACACCTATTGAAACAAGATCTTTTTTTCCCTATAATGTACCTCTGCTGCAGTTAATCTTCTATACTGATCACAAAAAGCTTTCCTAAAATACCAAATTTCAAAATATTATTACACTGCATAAGAAAGGACAATGGCTCCTTGATGCAAATCGAATCCCAACTTCTAAAGCTACCATTCAAGGCCTCAATTCACATTATCTTATTTATAGAAAATAATTTCTATTCCCTATTATAGGCTATCTGTTACAGCTAAACCTCACTCTTTACATTCCTTGCAACCACCCCTACTTCCTTCTACCTATCCTCTCTCTTGAAAGGTTTTCTTCCCTTTTCTAGGCCAATCAAAATTTGACCCTATCATTAAGTCCTAATTATAACCTCTTTCATGAAAGCTTTTCTGACTAACCACAATTTACTCTGCCATTTCCCTCTGTATTGCTGTCAGCTTTTGTGCATACAAGTTCTGCAGAAATTTGCTCCCTGTGGACCATAAAATCATCTTATAAGTGCCTGTGTCCTATTCCATCACTTAAAGTTAAACTACTCATGTAGCAGGGAAGCAGGGTTGTATACTAAGTCTTTGTCTGAAGTCTCTTACTTCACTGGAATATATCTTAATACCTAGCATATGGTACTATGGCATTTGTTCACTGAATGATTGAGTAAATGAATGAATGACATTTTGAAATTGGTAAACTATTAAGGGGTAGAATGGAAAGTGTATGGCCTGCAAGTTAGGACCATTGGATTAAATTCTTGGTTCTGTAACTAATCAGTTGTGAGACCATAGACAAGTTATCTGACTTCTCTGGGGATCAGCTTCCTCATGTGTTAAATGTAAGTAGTTGGACTAGATTATTTCTAAGGTCCCTTCCAGCTCAAAAATTCTAGTTTTCATTCCACCTAGGCAATTGCAATCATTAGTAAACAAGTAAATCTGCAATGCAATTTGAAAGGAAACAATCAATATTGAAGTTTCAAAATAACTTAAGAGAAGATACCTCTGAATCCCAAGGTGATTCTGCATCTTCTTCCTCTTCCAATCCTAATGCTAACATCATATCTATAAAGCAGAGGCAAAAAATTACATTAATAATTACAATATGTACTACTGAGAACATGAAAACTGTTCAAATATTTCTATTCATAATTGCTTCAGGGAAAATTAAATGAAAATGACAACAAAAACATTCGAGGAAACAAAACCAGAATAAGAGCGCAACATTTGGATTTAGGCATTGTGGGCAAAGGAGGGTACTTCAAAGAAAGAAGTTAGGAGCTGAGGTAATTTTATACAAGACTACATAACAAAAATCTTTTCTAAAATACACTTAATATTATGGGTAAAAAAGAGAAAGAGAAAGATTATTTGTATTTAACATACTTCAGAGTTAGGTCAATACACATTAAATTTACAGGTTTATAATGGCATTTTACAAAAAGAAAGCTTTGTAAGCATATTCTACAACGTGAGGAATAGCACAGCACAGTGGATACAAGGATAGTTTTGGAGTTAGGAAGACATGTGTTTGAGTATTTTTTCAGAAATACTGGCTGTGTGACCATGGGCAAGACAATGAACCTATTAGTGCCCCAGGGTATTCAGTAATACTATATATAAGCTGTAGAACAGTTGTCAATATGCATTGGTAGAAATTTTCTCAATGGGAATTTCCCACAATGATGAAATCCTGGGTCCTATCAAACAATAACTTGCCTTTTCTAACAGCACGATTCTCTGATGTACAGTGAGCCTGAACTTCATTGGGAAGATTTGCAGTTTCAGGAAGTGTTTGTTCTCTAGTACCATTGTCAACAGATACAGCATCTTCCTTTTCTTCCTCCTCTGATTCTGTTGATTCTTCCTATAATTAATGAGAATGAAATGTACAATGTCCTACAAAACTTTTCTTTAATCTGTTGCTAGCATGCATAATACAAACCTATGTAACATACCATAATTGCCAGATGTTGATGGACCTAACAATCAAATCATGCAAAGAATTAGATTTTTGCAGTCACTTATTTTAGATATTTGCCTTATAGAAAAATTCTTCTCCATAAGTAGAAATATTAATTTACAGCATGATATATGCCAATGAATGTTTTAATTCTTCCTTCAACAAATTCAAGTACTAGGACATGAGAAAGATAATAAACATTTCTTATGCTCAAATACTAATCTAATAGGGATGATAAGATACCCTCTGATTGGAGAGGTGAACCATGAACTCCAAAACCTCCACTGAAGGAGAGAGCCCAGCACAGACATCTCCTCATTTCTCACCACAACTTTGGGACTACTCCACCAGGCCCTAGGAATCCTATGATTGGGGAAACCTCATCATCCTTCAAGATTACACAAGCCTTGGTACTCCACCTAACCACCGGCCCCATGACAGGAGGAATTTCAAAGCCTCCACTGCAGGAGAGGGCTTAGTAGAAACAATTCTTCATTTCTCACTTTGCTGCACTACTGTGCAGTTCTCTAACTTCTCCCCTCTGTCTGAGAAACACGTATTTTCACCTAACTCCCAAATTATTGGTTTCCTTTGATATTTTGCATTGTCTTCCTCCATTAAATTGTAAGCCCCTTGAGGGCAGGTACTGTCTTTCTTTTTTAAAATTCATATCCCTGGCACTTAGCACACTGCCTGGTACATAGCAGATAATTAATCACTATTTACTAAGATATAAATATGAAAGAAAGAAGAATCTGTGAAATGTATTCAAAATATATGAGCTTAGAAGAGTTAGAAGGACCAGTGAAAGCTTTATATAGGTGGTATTGTTTGATTTGGGCCTTGAAAGATAGCTAGAATTTCAGATGGCAAAAAAAGAGGGCAAGGAAGATATCCCAAACACAGTGAATAGTGTAAGGAAAGGCACTGAAGAATGAAAAGCTCAAGGTACATTTAGGAAATGATGGGTAATCTAATTTGACCTAAACAGAGATACATGAAGAGGAAAGAAGTTTAACTTTAATCTCATTTAAATTATAAATATTCAAATACTTCATGTAGATTGTTGGGGCTTTTAAACTTACTTTTTTTTTAGTAGCTATAAGAAATTAAAGTTATTTGTGTAAGTCTTAAATCCATGATTAAATTATACAGTACATAATGGCCATAAACTGAGTCTTTTTGGCTTCTGAATTTCTTATAACAAAATGCCTTGCAAATAAGAAAATTTTATAATGTGGAATAAATTGCTGAACTTAATTATTAAAATTTGGGGTTGTTATGATTGCTATTAAAATATAAAGGAGAAATTGAAAGTGAAATTTTCAAATTTGAGATTACAACATGTTTTGTCCCACTTTTATATTAGGTCACAATGCAAGGTAAGCTAACAATATATACTGCATGGAACAGAAATGAAAGTTTTGGAAATTAGATGTCTTTTAAAAAAGGTTGGAAGATGAGGGATTATAATAAGATTATTATTTAAGTTCTGGTTTGTATTCCTCTGTTCTATGTTAACTATTACCTTAGAGAAGAATTAATATCCATCTGAAGAACAAAAGAGAGGTAAACTTAAAATTGGTCTCAAATAAAAAGGAAATTCCATTTCAGGGTTTTACAGTTCTTAAGGCAAAAAATTACAAAGGTCTGAGAAAATATCTTGGAATCACTTTTTCTGAGTCTTTAAAAATAGAATGTTAGGGATGGCACATAGGCATTTTAAATAAAAGCAAATATACATACTACTTGAACCTTTCAAAGTTTCTTCTCTTTTTATAATTCTATTACTGGAAACTTTGTTTTAATTTATAATCAATCAGAAATCCCACTTTCATTCATTTTACACACTCAAGTATAATATGTGGTAGATACTTAGTATTTGAATAAATGAAAAAAAAGTTATTATGGCCTAAAATATTTTTCACATATTCTTCTTGTTCTAATTCATCTATGAGAACAAAACAACTAAGTTTGGACTAAGTAAGCTAGATCTAAATCTTGACTTTCAAAGAAAAATCATTTGTTAACCAAACAAAACATTTTGTTATTTTTACCTTAAGAGAAGTGACATATAAGTTTGCACTTAAGTTTCAATAAACATCCGTTATAATTGCCATGGGAAATTTGGTAGCAATGTTCATTACTTTCTTTTCTTTACTCATTTTACATTTAGCTCCATTTCTATCATTTAATAGTATAAAGAGAGAGATTCTGTTGATTACTCAAAATCTCTTTTCCCTTTATATTTTCAAAATCTTCTTCACCTTGACTTTATTCTTCTTCTTCCTCTGTATCTACATATTCCAATCCTTCCCTCCATCTATAGCATCCTGCTCATCTTGACTAAATTCCTGCATCATGGACATCTTGACTGAATTCCTCCTCTGCCACTTTATCTTAATAATCTTCTAACTGTCCTTACTCTTGGCTGCTTTCTTTTTTCTCCCCCTCCCCCCCAGCAGATGATTTAATTTTTTTTTACTAATTAATTTATTTTTAGTTTTCAACATTCACTTCCAAAAGATTGAGTTCTAAATTTTCTCCCCATCTCTCCCCTCCCCTCACCCCAAGACAGTGTGCATTCTGAATACCCTTTCCTCCAATCTGCTCTCCCTTCCTCACTCTCTTCTCTTATCCCCTTCCCCTTTTATTTTCCTATAAGGCAGGATAGATGTCTATACTCCATTGCCTGTATATCTTATTTACCTGTTGCATGTAAAAACAATTTTTAAAATTCATTTTTAAAACTTTAAGTTCCAAATTCTCTCCATTCTTCCCTCCCCAACCACCCACATGCCCTTGAGAGGACAAGGAATTCAATATAGGTTATACATTATAGTCATGTAAAATATTTCCATAACAGTAATATTGAAAAAGACTAATTATATTTCCCTTCATTCTATCCTGTCCCTGTTTATTCTGCTCTCTCCTTTGATCCTGTCCCTCCTCAAAAGTGTTTGCTTCTGATTACCCCCTCCCCAATCTGCCCTCCCTTCTATCATCTTCCCCTTTCTTATCCCCTTCCCACTATCCTGTAGTGTAAGATAGATTTCCATACCCAATTAATTGCGTATGTTATTCTGTCCTTAAGCCAAATACAATGAGAGTAAGATTCACTTATTCCCTCTCAGCTCCCTCACTTCCCATCCACTCTAAAAGCTTTTTCTTGCTTCTTTTATGTGAGATTATTTACCCCATTCTACTTTTCCCTTTATCCTTCTCCCAGTACAATCCTCTTTCATCCATTAATTTTATTTTTTTAAATATCATCCCTTCATATTCAACTCGCCCTGTGCCCTCTGTCAACATACATATTTCCTCCAACTCCCCTAATAATGAGAAAGGTCTCATGAGTTACAAATATCATCTTTCCATGTAGGAATATAAACAGCTCAACTTTAATAAGTCTCTTATGATTTCTCTTTCCTGTTTACCTTTTCATGTTTCTCTTGAGTCTTGTATTTGAAAGTCAACTTTTCTATTCAGTTCTGGTCTTTTCATCGAGAATGCTTGAAAGTTCTCTATTTCATTGAATGTCTATTTTTTTCCCCCCATGAAGAATTACACTCAGTTTTGCTGGGTAGGTGATTCTTGATTGTAATCTTATTTCCTTTGCCCTCTGGAATATCATATTCCATGCCCTCTGGCCCCTTAATGTAGAAGCTGCTAAATCTTGTGTTATCCTGATTGTGTTTCCAAAATATTGAATTCTTTTTTTCTGGCTGCTTGCAATATGTTCTCCTTGACCTGGGAACTCTGGAATTTGACTATAATATTCTTAGGAGCTTTCCTTTGGAGATCTCTTTCAGGAGGTGATCAGTGGATTCTTTCAATTTCTATTTTACCCTCTGGTTCTAGAATATTAGGGCAGTTTTCTTCAATAATTTCTTGAAAGATGATATCTAGGCTCTTTTATCGAACTTGGCTGCCAGATGCTCCGATAATTTTTAAATTATCGCTCCTGGATCTATTTTCTAGGTCAGTTGTTTTTCCAATAAGATATTTCACAGTGTCTTCTATTGTTTCATTCTTTTGGTTTTGTTTTATAATTTCTTCAATTTTCATAGAGTCATTAGCTTCCACTTGCTCCATTCTAATTTTTAAGGAATTACTTTCTTCAGTGAGCTTTTGGACCTCCTTTCCATTCAGCCAATTCTGCTTTCCGAGGCATTCTTCTCCTCAATGGCTTTTTGGACCTCTTTTGCCATGTGGGTTAGTCTTATTTTTCAAGGTATTATTTTCTTCAGTATTTGTTTGGGTCTCCTTTAGCAAGGTGTTGACTTGTTTTTCATGATTTTCTTACATCACTCTTATTTCTCTTTCCAGTTTGTCCTCTACTTCTCTTATTTGCTTTTCAAAATCCTTTTTGAGCTTTTCCATGACCTGAGACCAATTCACATTTTTCTTGGAGGATGTAGGAGCTTTGACTTTGTTATCTCCTTCTTGTGATATGTTTTGATCCTCTTTGTCACCAAAGAAAGATTCTATAGTCTTAGTTTTTTTTTCTGCGTTTGCTAATGTTCTCAGCCAATTACTTGACTTTTTAACTCTTTGTTAAGGTAGGGCTCTGTTTCCAATGTGGAGGTTGTACTGTCCTGTACTGTGCTTGCACACCCTCCTAGCTCAGAGCAACTGACCTTTCCTATCAACCATCCAGGTTGTGTTGGGCTAGACATCAGTTTCACTGTCTTTTTTAAGTTCTGCTGAGCTAGAAATTTGTTTAGAGTAGTTTTTTTACAGGTATTTAGAGGGGTTTGGGGAAGTACTCAAGCAAGTCACTACTTTTACTCTGCCATCTTGGCTCCACCCCTTCTTGGCTGCTTTCTAATCCTTCTTCCTGATAATTCCCTCATGACTTGTCTGGACCAATCAATGTTTCATCTTCAATATATAAATTTCCCTGAGTTTTCTTTTGATGTGACTATTGAGGACTTCCATTCCTAGAATCCTTGCCATCTTCATGAAGTGGTGATGAGCGAGGGAGGAAAGGAAAGAGGGTAAACAAATATGGAAAGAAGGATAGGAATCATAGCCAATATAATTACCTTATTAATGCCCAGAAGAGTAGACATCATCTGGGAAGACCTTGAAAAGGAGCCAAGTGAGGGATGGACAAGATGAGGGGAGCACTGGGCTTGGGATGAAGGCTTAGGAAGGGAATTTGTCATATCTTCTTTTTCGCTATATGACTCACTGTGCCCAAGAAAAGTTCTATGTTCTGTATTGACTTCTCTACTGTATTAAAAACCAATAAAGAGTACATGAAGAAATCTATCATTTCAAGGCAATAAATAATAATATAAGAGTGGAAATTCCTCAGATGGCTTACTGTTTTTCCTTATCTGCTGAGAAGCACTTATTATTTTGGTTAACTTCGACTTGGGGAGTTTCTGCCAAGAAAAAAAAAAAGAATAATGAGTATCAATTCCTATAAGATACTATTTTTTAACAGTCTACATTTTTCTGACATTTACCATTGTAATGTATTTAGTCTGATCATAATGTAGAAAATAAAGTCTTCTTGACTATTTTGTTCACCAAAAACTGATATACCAAGAAGTACAATTTTATTCTTCAATACTTTGTCATATCATTGAAAAATACTAGGTTTTAGAAATTAGTATTTCAATGTATCATTCAAATCACTATAACAAAGACAATTAAAGTCCCTTAGTCATTAGTTTTAGTTTCTTTGTGTGTTTTGGAATAGTAATAATTACTCTAAATTACTTCTTTTGTTAAAACTAAAGAAAGGAGGAGAAACCTGACTAAAGGTCTCAACACTGGGGAAACTAGAGAAATGTTGATGTCAGGCTCACTTTTTCTAGACCCAGTTGTTGGGTTCATTCATTACAATTGACACCTTCAGCAGGAAGAAAGCAAAAGTTCCTGCTAGCAAGAGGCCACTAAAAAGAAAAAAAAATAAGGCTATAAGAACCTCAGTTCACACAAGGTCTTGAGCCCCTTCTTTGTACTGCTGAGAAAAAGCTGAGATCTTGCATTCAGGTCTCACATCTTCATCTAAGGACTAGAACTCCTCAATATGTACTCAACATCAACTGCAAACTATGTCGTATTCTTTGACCTTTTTTGTGTTGTATGTATGCACTTGGAAGGACTGGGCTTTACCCTCTAGGAACTATCTGGGTCTAGGAAAAGCTGTGAAGATGCAGTCTAATGGCAGATATTTTTTATGTACTGTTTATTGCTTTTGCGTTAATGCCAAGAATCAAGTATTATATACAACTCCCAAAAAAACCTACCTAAAAAAGAGGTTTTTTTACAATTTTTGTGTGTGTCATAGGCCTCATTGGCTGTCTAGTAAAACCATTGGATCACTATTCAAAAAATGTGTTTAAGTGCATAAAATAAAATACATAAGTTTAAATAGGAAACCAATTAAAAATGAGAAAACCATGCAACCATTCTTAGTGTGACTATTGCAAATTTGTGTTATATAAGCTCAAGTGGACCTTTACTGCTTCTAGGCAATCCTACCATACTTCTCTTATCTTACCTATCCCACCCTCCACAACTGCTCTTCCAAGCCTTTTCATCCCCTCTCAAACCTTCCATGGTTCCCTCTTCCTCTACACTTTCAGCTGAGAAACTTGCTTCAAATTTTTTATAGAAAAAATAAAGGCCATTGGACATGAGCTCCCTCTTCCACCTCTGCAATCACTCAGATGCCTTCTGCCATTGTCTCCTTCATCCCTATATCACATGATAAAGTGGCCTTACTCCTCACCAAGCTGAGCCCTCTACTTTTTCAGGTGATCCCATCCCATCCCATCTCCTCCAACAGATTTGCCACCTCTCTCATACCGATTCTAACATTTATTTTTAATCTCAGCTATCTTCTAGGTCATTCTCTATTGCCTGCAACCATGTCCATGTCTCCCACATCCTGAAAACACCCTCACTAGATCCTTCCATCCCTGCTATCATCTTTCTTCTGTCATAAGTTATTGCTACCATGTCATGCTACCTCCTTACTACAAGCTGCCAGAAATATATACATCATGTACCAAGTAACAAATATAATCAAAGCAGACTTTTCAAGAACTTCTTATGACAAGAGACTATGGGGGCAGGTAGGTGGCGCAGCACATAGAAGACCTGGAGTCAAGAGAACCTGAGTTCAAATTTGGCTTCAGACACTTGACATTTACTAGCTCTGTGACCCTAAGCAAGTCACTTAACCCAACTGCCTCACAAAAAAAAGAAAAAAAAAACAAGGAACTAAGAAATTTGGACATAACATTTACAAAATAAAATAAATAAGTGTCACAAACCCAAAATTATCTACCAAAAAAAACTCAGTATGTACTACAAAGGTAGGAGATGGATATTTGAGCAAAAATAATGGATAAAGCACAAGCCTGCAGTCAGGAAGATTAGAATTCAATTTCTGCCTCAGACACTTACTAGCTGTGTTACCCTGGGGGCAGGTTACTTAACTGCTGTTTGCCTCAATTTCTTCATGTGTAAAATTCGGATAATAGCAGTACTTACCTCTCAGGGTTGTTGTGAGACTCAAATGAGATAATAATTGTAACGTGCTTAGCACAGTATCTGACACGTAGAAGTGCCGATATAAATTTTAGCTATTATTATTAATTAATTAATTACATATAGCCCATCATTAATACTGCCTATTCACTTAGAAAAAAACATAAAAAATGTCAATTCATGCAACTCATGTTTTTATGTGTAAGTTACTCTACTAGATTCAATGGGAAATAAAAAGAGATGTTCCATCCCTAAGGAGCTATGAGATATTTACACCAATCACTATAATATAAAACCATGTGATAAATAAGAGAAATGTGATGCAATTTAAGGTACATTTAATGGACATCAAAAGAGGGAGAGCTTGCTTCCATATAGGAAGGGAGAAAGAAATGGGATCAGGGAAAATTTCTTAAAATAAGGAGCATTTGACCTAGGCCTTAATACTTAATTTATGATTTGAGTGTCCAAAGGCCAATGGTAGGAGGAAGGAACTAACTATAAGTCTTGGACGTTGGAAAGTACAAGGCATAGTCAGAGAAGAGGGAGTAGTAAAATTTCTATGGTGCTTAGTTTTTTTTAGGCAAGCAGTAGAAGGTAAGGTTTTAGATTTATACCTCATACTGTATGCTACAATAAACATTAATTATATTGTTTATTTAAATATTTAAAATTAAGAGTTGTAATAAATGGAATAAAATTTTTTATCAACTGTGGAGGATACTTTTTATCAAACAGAAGAATTATTAGAGACAAAATCAATAGGTTTGATTATGGAGAGATCTATTCAAGAAAGAAAAAATGGTATTTCTAAAATTAAAAGAACAGAAAAAGGTTGGAAAATATTTTAAATAAGTATATAAACTAAGTTTGATAATGGTAATATGTAATATATATACAGTCAATCCTCAACATTCAGGTGGTTTATCATTTGCAACTTCAAGCATCTGCATGCTTTAATTACTAACCTCATTTTCACTTTCACAATAACAACCCCCACACACAGTAGGGGAAAGAAACGAGAAGGACAATGCTGCAAGTTTGTGGAGTGGCAGGTATCTGCTAGACACTTCACCGATCTTGTTCACCCTACCTTTGTAGATTAAAGATCTTACCAAACATTCCTTAGCATAGTTTTATTGTTTGACTTTAAAACTCAAGTTTTGTATAACAATTACGGTCCCCAAATGCAGTGTAAGTCTCATAGGGTCCTCTGAACAAGAATGTTACATAAATATATCTCATTATCATATAGAACCTTTAAAAAAAGTAGATTCAGACACGCAGAAATGGTAATCTTTTTAAAGGCAGAAATTCTAAACACAACTTTTACAAATCATACCATAATAAAACTGTAATAAATACTGGGATCATAAAATTATATAGCTTAGAAGAGATGCTAATTAAGCCCTTAATATGTGTCAGACACAGTGTTAAGTTCTGGGAATACAAATATAAGCAAAAGGAAAGACAGCCCCTCTTTCTAGGAGCTTAAATTCTAATGAAAAAATAGTACATAAAAGGAAGCTGGAAAAGGGGCAAAGGGAAGGTATCCACCTGGGGGGTGGGACACGGCAGAAAATTAGTCTAAAGCATAGTGGGCTGAGCTGTTAGAAACGGTATATTCAGCAATCTCTAGCAAAAGATTACAATTTTTGGTGGTCATGGGAACCTAAGCTCTATTTCCCATATGTTCAGTGAATACATATTTAAGTATTTGACTTTTGTGCCATTTTCTAAGAATGTGACCTTCATAAAAATTGAAGACTGACTATCTGATACATATCTCTCAATCTAGTAAAATGAAGCAATGATTGAATAAAAATTGTTTCATTATTACAGAATTACTTCATGAAAAATGTTCCAATCTTCCAATAGGCAGAGAAATGTAAATTGACATAAGTTTATTATATCAACTAGAATGTCAAAAATTACAAAAATTATAAATTCATGTAGTTGTGGGAAATTCTAATATACCACTGGTCAGACTGTACATTAGTGCAAACATTTTGGAGAACAACATACAAGAGTCATAAAACTGATTTTCATTGCTATAATTCCATTGCTATTAATTCACCCTAAAAAGAGCAAAGGAAGGGTAAAAAGGACCTAGCTAAACAAAAATATTTATATCTGCTCTATCTGTAAAAGCTAAAAAATTGGAAGTAATCTCTATTCCCAACATTTGGAGAACAGTATATCACATAATGGATCATAGATTTAAAGCTAGAAGGGACCTTAAATATTATCCAGGAAAAAAAAAACCACTTTGCCAAGGTATTTATTTAGGAGTGGTATCCATAGAATATGAACCCAGGTTCTCTGACTCCCAATCCAATACTCTTTTGAGTGCACAAATAAATACAAAGGTTACAAGGAAATATGGAAAGTGATACAGAGATATCAGCAGAAAGCATTGATTTTACCTAGTTTTTCAGGGAAAAAAAAAACAAAGTTAAAGGTGGGAAAATTTGAAAGAAACCTAAAGCCTAACACAAAACAAAAGCTTTTTTGCTTTTAACTCATTTGGCTCCACATGGGTTGAATTCATATGGAGTTAAATACTAAGGATATTGTTTAAAATTTTATTTTTGTTTGATTTTGTTGATGATTATTAGGTTTACAACAAATCTTTTTACAAAGCAAAGCACCCACTAAACTGAAATTTAAGACTAGAAAAAAAATTTCATAAAGAAACTTTACCTTAATACTAAAATCTAATTCTTCTTCATCTGTGGTTGGCCAGGAATCATCAGCCCCAGGTTTGTCACAGAGTCTTTTAAAAAGAAAACAAAAATAAGTAGTTTTATTTCCAGAAGAGAATTGTCAAAAAGGCTTTTCAGTTGTTGTCAGACGTTTTACTACCAAATGATACATTACAAAGGATAACTTAATAGAGCAGAGTATGTAAACTATGCCTACTCCAAGATTCAATCTGGCACAGAATATTATTGTAAAAGCTATCAGTGGGTTTATCCTCCAGAATAAGCTCACTTCCTATTTTTATACTCCTCTAAAGCTGACAAATGAATACAATGGGACATTACAAATCATACACTCACCAAAAACCTGCAATGTATCTGTAGCATTACTCTCTGTGCCTTCCTTACTAGGTTTCTGACAAACATTTTCATAGTAAGTCTCTCATTTTTCTTAAAGTCACCTTCCTTAGTTTTCAACTCTAGATAGGACTTGTGTTTGTTGTTCGCTCTTTCAGTTGTGTCTAACTCTTTGTGACCTCACTTGGAGTTTTCATAGCAAACCACTGGAGTGGTTTGCCATTTCCTTCCCCAGTTCATTTCATAGATAAGGAAAATGACTTGCCCGGGGTCAACCAGCTAGTAAGTGTCTGAGGCTAGATCTGACCTCATAAACATAAGTCTTCCTGATTTCAAGTCCAGCGCTCTCTCCGCTATATTGCCTAGCTGCCCTCTGGATATGTGAGTAGGTCGTATATTACAGTCTCAGAAAGGTAATTATTACAAGTGCAATCATTCCTGAATGTAATATAATCACTGATGAACCTGGTCAGACAATATTATAGAACAGAATAGAAACCATTTTCAGAGTAAATTAGAATATTCATGATGCCTATTTGGTTTCGAATGTCCATCTGCCTATCCACTACCAATCAATGTGCACCATTTCCTTCAGGACCTAATTTGAGACTTATCTCCTTACAGTAGACTTCCATGAATCACAGAATCAGAAAAATCAATTCAGGTCACTAAAAATTTACCTGGTTCCCCATACATACAAAAAGTAAAATTATTAATCTTTATCTTTCTTGCTAGAAGCACCTCTGTACAACTGCTGTGGTAATCTGAGTTCAGGGAGTTTCAATTACAGAGTTATCACTCTATTCACCTCTTTGCAAAAGGAGGAATTCAAGAACAGTAGGGTATATGACTTGTGTTTTCATTGGTGCAGGGAAATAATGTAGATTAGCAATTGCTCAGTGTCAGAGAGTTGCCTGAGAACGCTGAAGGATTTAATGACTTGCACAAAACAAGTATGTGACAAAGGGGGAACTTGATTCCAGTTTATTCTTACTCCTAGACCCACTCCCTATCCACCGCCCCCAAGGCACTTCTTTTCTTAGCTCCTTAGCATTTGTTAACACCAAGACAGCTTTTTTTGTTTTGTTTTGTTTTTTTATAGGTTTTCTTGATTCTTTGACAGGCAAGTCAAGTGTCCTTTCCTTCTCCTTAAACTTGCCACTTTATTTATTTGGTCTTGTCTTTCTACATCCTTCTTCTCCTTCTACCTCCCCTTCAGTTTCATTCCATTTCCTCTTCCTCCTCATAACCTTCCATATATCCTCCTCCAACTCTTCAAATCTATCTTTACTCACTTTCTTTATCTCCTTTAGATGGAATCATTCTCTTTCAGCTTAAGTCACTTCAATTTCTCAAGGCCTCCTGAATTTCTTTATATTATTAACTCTCACTCTCTGATTTTTTTTAAAATTCTAAAGGATTCCAAATCATCCTCTCAATTCCTTCTCCTTCTTGAGTTCAGGTCCTGCTCCTGCTCCCTTTTTCACACAATCTCCTTTGGACAAAAGAAGGAAGAAAGGCTCCAAATATTCAGCATCTCTGTATTACATGACTCTTCCCACCAACCTCCTGACACACTCACACTCTTCCTCTTTACCTCTAGTAGATTCTCTTTTTTCTTCAATTTTAAAAAGTTTGTATCATTCCCTCTACTTGATCATCCAAAGGGCAAAATGGCTTTTTCTCCAGCCTTTTCACCTTCTTCTATATTAAGACTAACTTTTGTCACAGACAGCAACACAAACAAAGTACAAACTCTGTAGGTCACTGCAAAAGAATCTGTACTGTGTGAATATGAGCTCACTGGAAGTGAGATATCTAGTCCTTAGTCACTCCAGTTGGTGGTCTTTACAGGTAATACACTGCCATGTCTCTTTGCATCTCTAGGAGCTCTAGAGAAATGATGTCCTTTTAACAGGCTTGCCACCTCTTCTCAAGATAGAATGCCAGCTTGCCTGGATGCCTCAAACTGGGAACTACAATATTCCTGCCAAGGTCTCAATGTGAGAAACAGCTTTCTACCACTGTTGTCCACAAGAGCTCCAAGCAGAAACCACTTAGCAGCCACTTCTGATTTTATTCTATTGCTTTTCTCTGTCTTGCTGAGAAATTTCCAACACTGCATCCTGTCTTAAGACCCTGTCCCCAGTGACTAATCGCTACCCCATGCTGATCACCCCTGGACTTGATAATCCCTGAGCACTTAGATACATTTCCTCAACTTTAAGAAGATACATATTTGCACTAGAGACGTGCCTTAAAAGGCTTCTTAGGAATCTATTCCAGGTAGCTAATACATACTGTGGTGATATGGAAGAACATAGCTTGCTCATTCTTTATCCATCTAATTACTTTTTATTAATAGATCTCTTAGGGGATTGTGGATAGGGAGTACAAATATACTGGATTCAAGTTCTCCCTTTGTCACATATTGGTTTTGTATGCCCAGGCAAATAACTCAATCCTTCGGTGTTCACAGGCAACTCTAACACAGAATAGTTGCCAATCTGATTAATATATAAATATATGAGGTGTTTAATAAACATAATTCTATGCGAGATAATGAAGTAAACACATGGGTTAATATGATGGTGGGAATTCGTTAAATTGAAGATATGTTATTTTTTGGAGCATGAGAATCTGCTTTGCCTTGGAGAGAAACACCTATTAGAGAATGGACCATGTGGATTAATTAATTAAATTACTAATTAATAAATTAATTTGATTAAAATAATTAATGGATTAGTTAATTAAAGGAAATATTAACCCCTATGAAGCCTACCTGCTTATAGATTCTTCCAGGGAATTTTCTTCCATTACTGGAAAAAGAAGTAAAATACAATTAAAACAGAAATACAAATACATGATATTAATATTAAAGGTATAATTTATGAAGTTTTGCTACAATATATTTTGTTGGACAAAGACCCATGATACAAATGCAATTATGCCAGAGATAAGTGTCTTAAGTATCAAGGCTCTGAGGGTAGAAAGAGGTCTTCTTCAAGCATCAGATATCTGTCAGTGATTTGTTTACACTGGCCATTTCACTAGCAGACATTTTCACACTGACAGAGCATAACATCACTAGCAGATATCATAAATAGAAGGAACGAGCTGACATAACAGAATTAATCTGGGCTTTTTTATGTAGGTAGATTGAGAAAGACCATATTTGTTTCACCTTTTTTACCACTCACCACACAGATGGAATGTTTGGAGATATAGTACTGCCACATTGAACATGACACAGCATGACCTGTTTGGTCCATGCTGTAAATCAGGGCAGATCCAGAGACTGCGCTGTCTTGGTATGACATAACATATTTCTAGCTCTTCTCCATGGGCAAGAGATCCAGATATGACATACTTTGCATAGACCTCTACAGTCCCTAGAAGGAAGGGGCTGATGAGTTGCAAACCAATATATTTTTTCTTTTCAAGCCTTCCCAGGGAGGGATACTAAAAACAAAAACAAAAAGCTTATTATGTACAATGTACATCTGTTATTTCTTCTGACTTTCTCCCCCAAAATATACTCTAAAGACAGTGAGATGGGCAGTGAAATAAACACTTCTTTTTTCTATCAACCACTAGTCTAAGGGAAGCAATTAAGACATGACCATTTGTCCATTTCACTGGGTAACTTCTTTGATTATATGATTCATAACTATTCTCCAAACTTTACTTTCTCTAATTCATTCAACAAGATACTGCCAGATTTCTTTTGAACTAGGTATGTTTGATGAGATGAGATTTCATCTATATGGAACTCACAGTGAGAATAATTACCTCCACCGATATAGACAGGCAATTTCTCTGCAAATTATAGTGTTAGAGAGTTAGTAACTTGAGGCAGTAAAAGGTTAAGCAACCTGTGTAGAGTTTACCAGCCAGTAGGTATCAGAAGTGGGTTTTAAACAACCCTGACTTCTTACTAAAGGCCAGCTCTCTATCTAGTCTTTCCAACTGGCTAAAACCTACAAGAGTGCTCACTTTGTCTACACAAACTTTGAGAATTTAAGGTTGCCTCTACACCCTGATGAATTTTAGAATAAGACTTCGGTATATAGCATAATACATACTAAGTACCTAGTAACTATTTTATGAGTGACAAATATGACTCATATTGCTTTTCCCCATTAAAATGTAACTAAGCTAAAAACATTATGCCATATTGTGCAGGATAAAATGGTATTCCAAGACTTTCCCAAGAATGGAGGGCCAGAAGAAACAAGTTAATTCATACAGAACAAAGTCTCTAGTTCTCTTCTCTAGTTAGATATGATTGATCAGGAAAGATTTCACTGTGGTTGTTTAAAAAGCATAAAAGTTCTAATCGCCTCAAAGCTGGAGAGCTGGCACACTGCCTCCAGGCTTATTTCATACCATAGACATGATTCAAAGAGTCACTTATGTTCTGGGGCAAGGTGAAATTTATATGATAAAACAAAGGAGAAGAATCATGCTCTGTGGGCTAGGACATTACTACCTCTCCAGAGCCTCTTTGGGACAGGATCTCAAACAACTTAATTCCCATGGTTTGGACTCTTATTTTTTTTTTAACAATTAGAAAGCACTCAACCTATACTATATAATGACTGTAGCAAAACATCAGTATAGTTAGCAATTACATGGTCATACTGAAAATAGAATAAAGATCAGAGTAGTACCAGGTAGGTCCTTCTCTTTTTGTGGCACATGAGCAATTAACTTGAACTAGACACATAGACAAAATATTTGATCAGTTTATCTTTTTATGTATATATGTATATATATATATATATAGATATAGATATAGGTATAGATATATATCTATATATACATGTATACACACACACACACATACATCAAGGAGTGGAATTATAATAGTAAAAAAGTATAAAATCAATACAATATCAACATGAACATGAGCAGAATTAACTCAATCCAGTAATGAACAATGCTAAAAAAATTACCATTACAAAGTAGTTTTTAAAATACGAATTTCAAAGATCTTTATATTTTAAATAAAAAGTTCAAACTCAACATAATTATTCAAAAATAGTAGAAATGCTAAACAGATTCTACTACTACATTTTTTCCTGAAATCATCTCTTAATTATTTTTAACAAAATGTTCAGAATTTATCAAGTTAAAAAACTGAATGCTACTTTCTAATGGCATACCACACAGAAAATATCAGTATAATGGATTCTATCCTATTTTATTCTACATAATGCTTAAGCTAAACAAAAATAGTAAAAGCAATACCAAAAATAAAATTTGAATTAGAGCAGCAACTAAAGTAATTTAATTCTTGTTTGAGTGAATATTTTTATTTCATTATTTCACAGAATACCTTTCCCTGAAATTCTTGCTCTTGATGTATGCACTTGAGATTTTTGTACTTCTATATCTGTTTAGGAATAGGCATGAAAGGGATAGATGAAACAATCTGAAATCAGAAAAAAAATATGAAGACAAGCAGCTCTATTCTAAAAGGAATGTACGAACTGTTAGTATGATCTATTTGGTCTACTAATTATGAAAGTACTTAAAATGAAATAATATATATATTATTAAAACCTCAATGAGAAAGAGTCAACTGATTTTCTCTCACTAGCTGTGTTTTGCTTCCACATTTCAAAAGTTTCTGTGCCAGTCTGCCAAGTGGGATGCCTCTTCAAAGACACATAATTACCATTCACATAATTATTCCACTGCTGATGATATGTATTTACTTTCGATCTTGTTCCTTATCTAATAGCACAATACTAAAAACACTGCTTACTCATTTAATCCTGTTGTACAAAGAAATTCATTACTTGCCACTACAGAAAGAAGAGGGCAAAAAGTAAAAAGCAATTTACCCAACCAATACAAATAAGATGACCTCTCTTCCCTCGCATGACCATCATGAATGTAAATGTTAGTGATTTTAAGAGAATTTATCTTTGATAGAAAAAATATAAATTATTCATCTGATGTTTTCCCATTCCATGAGGAATGAACTGTTTTTGTTAATTAAATATATGTAAATAATGAGTACCCACAAATATCACAAATAAATTACCAGTTATCAAAAGATCAAACTAAAATAAAATTCATTTCACTCTAAAATTATATTGAATAAAATTTAATTTCTAGAGAACTTATAACATCCATAGGCTCCTTTAAAAAAGTTATCTCAGATACAAATTATCATTGTAATAGGGATATAAAGGAAGTTAAAGTTGGCACAAATCATCTTGTTTGATATTAACTATTATTTATAATATGTAAAAACAATTTAACCAAATACAAGTAAATATACGTCACTTTGGCTATGAACTTTGATGACAACTGAGAACATTTTTAATTGTCTCCTCTATCCCACCAAACATGACATTCCTTTGAATTGCCTTGAATACCCAAAATTGGTTTTGCAGGCTTTTCATATTCACTGAAGAACTACACGGTTCTCTAATTTTGACAGATAAGACATAGCTTAAATCCCCATAAATCTTACAAAAGTGCCGTAGGTTTAAATTCATGTAAGTTTTACATTTTAAAACATTAACTACCATATAATAAGCAATCACTGCCTGTCAAATTAAAGAATGATTTCATAGAATCATATAATTCAAATCTAATTGAATTCCTTCATTTTAATGATGAGTATACAAATGCTCAGAGGTTAAATGATATTCCTAAGGAATTCCAGGAAATTCTAACTCCAAAACTAGTATTTTTCCCACTGTAAAATGAGGTCTCTTTAAAAAATAAAAATAAAAAGTATTAGAAGTATATATCTTTCACAAAGTACATATCTTTCATAAACCTAGTGTTAATGAATTTTCCCAAATGATATAGTTGGACTGCATTACCTCTAAAGTAATTTCCAATTCCAAGTCTCTATAACTACATTCTAAAGATTTTTCATTAAAGGGAAAATGTTACTATTAAAAAAGCATCAAGTTTCTAGACATTTCCCCTAAAGGATAAATTTCAAAGGTTATAACGAAAGACAAAAGTAACATGAGGAAAACACTTTGAAAACATTAAAACACAGGGCTTAAGACAAGATGGTAAAGAGAAGCCAAGATTGAGCTCTCCCCAGTTTCCTTCGGAAACAACATTAAATGTAGCTGCTAAACATATTTTGGAGCTACAGGACCCACAAAAAGATGGAGTGAAACACTTTTCCAGATTAAGATACCTTAAAAGGACTTCAGAAAAGGTCTGTCTCACTTGGGTAAAAGGGAGCACAGTCCAGCATAGACAATATCTGGGCAAGTGGGATGCTCTTAGTCACAGCGGAGGTCAGTAATAAAGGCCTCTCAGTCCTTGCTCAGTAGGCAAGCAGTGAGGCCTCCAGCCCCAGCACAGAAGGCAAAAATGATGAGCTCTGGAACCCTGGCACAATCGACATAACTTGGCTATTCTACCCACAGAGAAATGAGGAAGATGTAAGTATCTGAGGCCCCAGTGTGGAAAACCAGTGACCAGGCCACTGGCCCTCAGCATAAGAAGCTTGGGATAGTGCCCCCTTTACCGTAACTACGGGCAGAGCTCAACTTTGAAAGTCACCAAATAGGCTGAAAATGAGTAAGAAACAGGAAATAGCCCTAATCATAGATAGCTACTATGGTGACAGGGGAGATCAAAACACAAACTCAGAAGAGACCAACATCAAAATGCCTGCATGTGAAGCCTCAAAGAGGAATATTGCTCTTGAGCCCAAAAAGTGCTCTTGGAAGAGCTCAAAAAGGATCATACAAATCAAGTAAGAGAGGTAGAAGAAAAACTGGAAAAAGATATGAGAGTTATATAGGAGATTTATTAAAAAAAATCCACA